TTTTTAATTGGCTTTGTTTGGTTATTTATGTTCTGTTGTTGGTTTTGGCACTTCCAGCCAGGCGACGGCAGCTATTTCCGCTTGTCTGCCACGCCCTCCGCCCCCTGACCATCCTCCATCCTCCATGCTCCATGCTCCATGCTCCATGCTCCATACTACATACTCCATACTCCATCCTATCTGATTCCGTTCCAAAAATATATCGCTTAAAGTTGTCGCCGACGAAAAATGCCCGGAAAATGTGAAAATCGTGAGAGGAATCTTTTGGAGAAAAGCGCCTAGAGATCGGTTTGGATCAGTCAGTGAGTGCGAGGTTCTATATATAGAGCCTAGATCTGAATAGGCAGTTCATATATATACACAGGAAAAAAAGCTTTATTAAGGATAACTTTAATCCGAATTTCAATTATGCAAATAAAGCATAGATATTTAGGTTACTTTTTCGGATTGAAAAATGTATTGACAAAATGTTTTCAAACTAAAGTACTACAACTCCTTTAAGACTTGTTTATTTTGAAGGTATTTGCAAATACTGATATTATCTAGAACAAAGCAGTATGTTTCTCAGGTAATCTCAAGTATTTTTAACGTAAACATTTCTCTTGCTTAATATGTATATTTGTGAGTACCCTAATTATTTTAAAATGCTAAAAACACCACTTTTGATATCAGTTCATTTTGTATGACTAATTTGTGTTTTTGTGTATGTTTTGTACTCTGTATAAGCCATATTTATAAACATATATATATACGTACATATGTATGTGACGATATATTGACGCCGGCTGATGAGATGGAACTTCATAAACTTTTTAGACGTTTTGGCCACAAATTTGTTTGTTTTTCCTTTTCGACTGATGGTTCCCATAAACTTGAAACCGAATGAAGAAGAAGAACCGTGGGGCAAAGGGGAGTAGGAAAAACAGAGGAAACGGAGGGGGTAGGAAAGAGGGTGGAAAAACTGTCTGTCAGACAAACAAGCAAATTAAAACTCACACGTAATTGAGACTTCCTCTTTAAGAGGAGAAAAGAGCGAGAAACTGGAGCAATTGAAAGAAATTGCGCCCAAAGGCGTGTAACAAACAGACCGAGAAAAAAAAAAGGGGGGAGGAAGGAAGGAAGAGAGAGGGCAAGAAATAATAACAACAAAGAAGATGAGAAATCTCGGCAAGAAAAGCAAAAAGAGGGATAAAGCTAATGCAGCTGTGGCCAAAGATCCAGATCCAGATCCAGTTCGAGATCCAGATTCAGGTTCAGATCCAAAGACATTGAACCCACAAACGAGGCCAGCAGACGAAAGAGCAGGTGGCCAGACTTTCAGATCGAGGCCTGCATTATAATTACAATGCCACCCCGCTCCACCTCCCTCCCCCTCTTTTTTGTCCTCTTTTTTTTTCCCCCATTATGGCAACTGCGAAGACGACAAAAATTACGAATTTTATTCACGCCAACAGAAGCACATTAAAGACGAAGATTCTATACACTTTCAAGTATTGCAAGCAGATCATGCAAAGATAGTGCAAAGATCGTCAGAAAATTATTTATAGCGATAATCTTTCTTCCCTTCAAGAAAAATCCAGTCATGAAAACGGCTTTTCTTTGCTTTGGCAGCTACTGTAAATAAGTTTAAGTCTTGCAATAATTTAGCTTCATTTGAAATCAAGTGCAAGCGGTTGATATGCTGAGGTGTCTGTACCAAAGCACGTAGGCACTTACGCCCCCTAAAGGTCGATACTGGTAATGAAAACAAAACTATCTTGGAAAAAAACAAAAAAAAAAACAATGCAACCCGAAGCGAAAGACACTTGAATTTACAGTAGTGCCCGTGAAATTAATATTTATTATTTAAAACCGATTACTTTGCAGAAAACTTCAGGGAATGTGAAAACGTGAACTTACATGAATTACAATGTTGGATGCTTGAAACACCGATTAATTCACTTAATTTCGTAAATCCGTAAAGACTCCATTAAATGAATAACGTTTTCCGACTTTTTACAATCAGAAATATACACAAAAGCTTAAGTTTCTATTGGTTTTCAATTTCAATTCATTTCATTGATAAAATTGAATTCTGTTTATTGATATTTTTGCTCATATACCACACAATTTCAGTTTTTCTTTAACCAATTTCAATGGGTATTCCTTTATTATTTATTTATATACGAGTATATAGTAAATATAGTAAAATTACTTGAAAGTTAAAAACTTGTCTGCCATAATGGTCAAAAAAGACCAAAGATAAAAAAATCTTTGATGCAAGTATTTCACCAGCTTTTGCAACTGCGACTTAATCAGAATTGGAAGGCCAGTTTGTCCGTAAATTAGCTCCAATTTTCTGGCGATAAGAACTGCAACTGGGCAGAGAGAATTATTTGTGAGTTAATCACAGTCAACAGAAATGAAATAAAAAACAGTCAGATATAATACGATGTCCGAAATGGTTGATTATTCATCAATATTGTGAATGACTTTCATAGTATTACAAAGAAATAATCGAAAGACTTTATTTGCTTGTATTTGAATTGAGAAATTTTCCAAGTGGGCCGAAGTTATTAAATAAACAAAACAAGAGAGAACGCTATAGTCGGGTGTCCCGACTATCAGATACCCGTTACTCAGGTAAAGGGAGTGCGAGGGAGATGGAGATAGAAACTTTGATCACGCATAACTTTTTAACGAATGGTCCGATTTGAAAAATTTCTTCTACATTTCGATATGTATTGATAAACGCAATAAAACTGCATTTTTACTTTTCCGAAATATTTAAATTTTTAAAATCGCATATAAGCGATTGTGGGCGTTAAAGGGGGCGTGGCACCTTTTTGAAACAAACTTGCGCTGCGTAGGAACTCCTAGAATCTGCATGCAAAATGCCAATCTTCTAGCTTTTATAGTTTCCGAGATCTCAGCGTTCATACGGACAGACAGACAGACAGACAGACAGACAGACAGACAGACGGACAGACAGACGGACAGACGGACATGGCTATATCGACTCGGCTAGTGACCCTGATCAAGAATATATATACTTTATAGGGTCGGAAACGCTTCCTTCTAGCTGTTACATACTTTTGCACGAATACAATATACCCTTTTACTCTACGAGTAACGGGTATAAAAAAAGTGGAGTAATTTTTTGATGACTAAAAGTAGAAGCTAGTTAAAAAAAGGTTCTCTGTTTCTCAACGAGCTACAGGGTGGCCCAAATACATGTGCCCCATGTGTTTCTTGATTTTCATTCATTTTTTAGAAAAAGACAATTCAGTTTTCGTTTTTACAGGCATTTATTATGATCCAAGGTAATAAATATCGCCTTTTCCCTGATTACAAAATGTGCCCTTTTTTATCATGAGTGACGAGGCACACTTCTCACTGAATGGAACGGTAAATGAACAAAACTGCCGCTACTACGTCAGCGAAATTCCACAAATAATCCACGAAAAGCCTCTCTATGACGGGGAAGCGTTATCGGAAGCGGATGCGTAACTTCTGGTTTCAACAAGATGGCGGTTTATGCCATACTGCAGCTGCCACGATATATATACTAAATTCATTCTTCCCTGGTCGCTTGGTATCCAAAAATGGCCACTCGACTTTTATTTGTGTGGATATTTGAAATCCAAAGTGTACATCAATAAGCCACGGACTTTGGCTGAACTTAAAGCTTACATTGAGCGTGAAATAGCGGCGATACCGAAAGATAAATGCCTGTGAAAACGAAAATTGAATTGTCTTATTCTAAAAAGTTATATTCAAGAAACTCATGGGCCACATGTATTTGGGCCACCTTGTACTATGTTATCTTATCAAAAGACTCTGAGATTCTGGGATATATTGAGATTTGCTCTGCTTTCCGTTTACATACATAGGGTCATGATAATCCGGATTCATTAACGCAATGAGGAAGATCTTGGGCACTTCAACGTGATCAACAACAAGATCATCAGCGTCATTAGTGGCCGCATGTCGTGGACATCTCATCGTCAACCAGCCAGTACTTTGAGTTGCAACTATTTTCACTTAATTTAATGAGAAAATTGCACCCTCGGGTGATGGTTCGAGTTTGAGTTCGAGTTCCAGTTGGGGTTCTTCAATGGAGCAATGAACGTTGCGGTCAAGTTGCCGTTGTTGTCGTCGTCGTCTGATGTTGCTGCTGTTTGTGTTGCTGTTGTTGCTGCTGTTGCTATTGCTGCTGCTGTTGCTGTTGCTGCAGCTCCCATTGTTGTTGTCGCAGACACTGCGTTTAAAAATAACACAAGAGTGAGGGATACAGACCGCAAGAAATGTAAGTCAAGCGTCAAAGCCCCCCGGCAACAGCAACTCCACAGCAGCAATATTTCAAAAAAAAAAAAAAAGAAAGAGATTGCAACTGCGGCAAGTGTCTGGCAACTCCCCGTTTTTCAGTCTCCCAGTTTCACAAACAAAAACTGCTTAACAGCCTATGAATTTCTGAGTCATTTGTGCCAAAAGAAGTGCTAAATAACTTGATATATGCTTATTTCTTGAAAGCCACACATCATTGCAAATTGCACTTGGTTCCTACTTTGAAATTTGCTTTGGTTGTCGCTCAGAATTTTAAATAGATTCAGAATACTAAAAGCTACGGCACTGATTTTTATTATTATTAAAATATTGCATTCAGTTAGATATTATAAAAAAATATATGTTTTATTGTGACTTGTGTCGTGAGTTTGCAGCACGTTAATAAAATAAATACTTTTTATGATACCTAAGTGGGCGTTATATGTTTATTGGGACTATATAAACCGACACACCTATGTAACAATCTTGAAAATCAAGCAATTCTATTATAAATTATTGGGAAATGAAGTTTAAACATAACTGCAAGCAGTCAGATATCGTGTATGTTTTCCACAACAGATGACTTTTCTTATCTTAATCATTTCGTAATTAAATTGTTTACATCTTACTTAGTTTTAAAAGTGCTTTTAGCCACTTTCTCACTTGAATCTCTCTTTCTGTTTATCCCCCAACAGCTGTCGAGTGTTTTTGACGATAAATACTCGGTGCCGCTGAATATCAGGAATATCGAGGTGCGACTGACGGCTAACACACAGTTCGTCCTGCACGAGAACTTCTTCCAGGGCAACCAGGTGAACTATTTCGGCGTGATCGGAGTGCAGGATAACGACCAGGTGGAGATGTCCCGCAATGCCTTTATGCACAACAAAGGCGGCTATCCGAACATCGAGATCAGCAAGGTGTCGTCGGTGTTTCTCCAAGAGAAATTCCTGCCTGGTAAGTCCAAGATTTAATTTAACTCCCGGACTAGAGCAGGAAACTGATCTCCAAACTTTCAGGTGCGGAATTCAAACTGCAGGTGGATGACGTCGATAAGTTAGTGGTGTTCGCCAATGCCTTCCAGATGACCAATCTGGATTGCACCTTCACGCGGATCAAGGACCTGGAGCTGAGGAAGAACGCCTTTAATCCCAGCAGTGCCACTTATAGGATAAATGTGAGTACATCGTGTGTATTGTGGGTTTCTATTACCAACTTAATATCGATCTTGTAGCTTCGTGTGGAGGACTCGAATATCGATCAGTTGGGCATCTTTGGTGTGTCCATGAGCAAGGTGAGCCTGGTGCGCTGCCGCATCGGCAGAGTGATGAGCAACGCCTTCGATGTGACCAGCATCAAGGAGCTGTTAATCGAGAAGTGCAATATCTCGGTGATCGAAACCCATGCGCTGACCAACAAGCTCCACAGCGACAAGGTGTCCATTCTGAGCACGGAGATTGGCATTATCGAGGGTCAGGCGATCAGCCAGAGCGGCATAACCACTATGATTATGACTGGGAATAAGTGAGTTTGGATTTTCATTATTTGCCGACCTATGGTTAAACATGTTCCTTCCTCTTCCAGAATCAAAAAGATCAGCTCGAATGGCATCCAAATAGTTGCCGTAAACCTATTGATCCGGAACAACACAATGCATTATGTGGAGCCCAATTGGCTGAGTGTCGGCCAGGCCGATCAAGTGGCGATCGAGAACAATAGCTTCGATAACTATGGCCGCTGTGAGCTGAACATTGCCTCCTCCAACTGCAGTTTCCGCAACAATATGCTGATGCATCCGCAGGCGGGTAGCCTGAATTTCACCTGTCGCATCCATCAAGTGCGCGTGGGTAACGAGTGCTCGTGCGACAAATCCTGGCTACCGACACTAACCGATCACGACCTGGAGTCGGAGGTTATGTGCAGGGTGGCGGATCGACATGGTGTATGCTTCAATGCCACCAGCACATCTCTGCGACGATTTGTAAACGAGGCGTGCGGCGGCAATATGACGATGCGCGACTGCATCGGTGGTCTGTGGGTGATGAAGTCGGCCAGCGATCAGTTGAGCGGTACGAGCAAATACCACATCACCTGGATAGCCTGCGGGATTGCTGGTGTCGTCGTCGTGAGTGTCGTGATTTTCGTGATTGCCAACTTCGTCTTCAGGTGCTGGCGAAGTGGAGGCGGTGGAGGCGGGGGTGGCGGCGGCAATGACAATGCGAAGTGTAAGATTGACGAGATAATTCGCATTCAGTTGCTTCAACAGGCAAGTGATCTGAACAAGCGTGATGCCAGACGGAAGGGCATTCTGAAGCTAATAAACGGTCGTTTCAGCAAAGAGGAGTGCCTGAAGAGGACCTTTGAATTACTTGATAACATACCCAAGACAGCGGAAATTGAGACCCTCCTGTTGAAGCACATCGACCAGTGTCACAATCCCATAAAGAACGAACCCTATGCCACCTGCGCCACCCCTTTACCGCCACCAAGCGCCCCCAGTCCGCATCCCAGTGAGGGCGGTTTCGATGAGGAGCCCGTCTACCAGGAACCTGATCAACAGCGTCCGCTTATTTGCAGTGACTACTCATCGCCGCCCATTCATCTTGTCGAGAATACGTACTCGGAGCCGATCAATGCAACGAGTAAGTACGGCCAGGACTGCAACAGCAATAGCCGTAATGGCCGGGAGTCGGAGTATCCTGGCCAGAACCGGCCCCTCCTTCCGCGCCCCAATCAAAAATCTTAATTAATCTCCCCCCCCCCACCCCTATGATTGGTTGAGCTAACGCTACTCGGGAATAGGGTCTAATTCCGTTGTATCTAACTTGTACATATATAATCAAAACAAAATATTATAGTTACATGTGTAGAGGATATTAGTTATGGTATTTATCAAATATTTATTAAGTCACTGGAATCCCAAAAACCGTCAACTCGAACACCACACAGGATCTACTCACAGTCCCGATTTAACCATGGATAACATACGTGAAAATAAATATAGGGACCTTATATGCTATCCTTTATGCAATCAAATCTTTAGTGTTCAACACACTGGAAGTCCAAACCTTTGGCAAGATTATCGTGGGATCTACATCAGATATGCAATGAGAAAATGAAAAAAAAAAACAGATCCATTTGTCATCCATTTATGATCAATTTACGATCTTTTTATGATCCATTTATGATCCATTCATGATACATTCATGATCCATTCACGATTCAGTACACAACTTTGAAATCTTTTTATGCAAGTATGTTAGCACTTTATCTACGCACATGCACGTAGAGTTTATTGTACACCTATCCAGAATTATGACACATAAGCACACACACAAGTTCGCTGGCAGGCGTCGATCCACAAACACAAAGAGAAAAGGCTAAATCCACAATTGCGGAACGCATTAACCCACAAAGGTACTAAAAAAAACAAAATGTAGTTAAATGTTTCCCACAACCCTAAAAACATGGTGATGGATTCTAATTTTCCCTCTCTATAGCTCTTTTTCTATGTAAAACTATTTGGTGATTATGTACGTGTAATTTGTGACTCTATGTGTAACTGTAACTAGATATATATTAGCTATAGTTCGCTTAAATGTTTAACTGTCTAACTAGTAAGATTATCGGATGGTGCCACAGAAAACATTTGGTTTTTGAAATCATTTAGATAAGTGCCTAAAACTATGCTTCAACATTGTCTTTTATATTTATTTCATACTAATGTTTTCTCTGGCACTGCCGAATAAAATGGTTTTTTATTTAAGATAATCCATTATTAATCGACTATATAAATGTGGTTCTTTCCTCAGATGCGAACGACATGCCACCGGCATATCAATATGCCACGCCCATGCGCATCCTGACGCCCCCACAAACACAACAGCCATCGACGATGGCCAGTTATGCCACGCCAGTTTGGCGTTCCACACCGAGTGCCACGCCCACCAGCCGACCGCCCTCGGGGTCACAGGGACAGGGGTCAACTACAGCGCCAAGGGCTGTCAAGGATCTGAGGCAGGCTCTCCAGAATTCACCACAATTCCATCCCAATCAGCTGACCTCAGCGCACAACCAAAGACAGATGATGCCGGTGGTCCAGCCGGTCCCACCGCCGGCCTACAGTCAAAGTCACAGGTCACAGGTCAGGGGTCAGCGGAGGCGCAGCTTTGAGTGCCTCGACGGCGCCGCCAGTCTCGCGGCCATGGAGCACATGGACTCCGGCTCGGATCACTCCGGCGGCAGCGATGTGACCGTCCAAATGGCCGATGTGATCGACTATGCGGATGCCTAAAAGTATGCAGAAAGATTGAATATCTGCATATATAAACCCATATATATGTCTGCTACAACTGTCACACCCCTGCCACACATAAAACAAAACTAAAAAGTTGATAAAAAAAAAAAAGGAAAACACCTGCCAGCAGCAGCGCCCAAAACAAAAACGAAAACACTTTGTGATATTCAAACAGTTTCTCTGGATTTGCGACGAACGAAGGAGATCTACATATATGTAGATATAGCTAGAGAGAGCCGATCGAGAAGAACGTCGCCAATCGCCGATAATATAAGCTAGATTAAGTTGATCTAAATAAACGAGTCCTTGCAGACCGCTCGACTGACTCATTGTGTCCTGATCTCATTTATTTCGGGTGCTCTAATCACTTTGTAAAAAAAAAAAGAAAAGAAAAAAAAATTGTATTACAATGATCACCCTAACAGATGGCGCCACTTGTAATTGTATTAACACGGCAAACAGTAAAGATGGCGTTGATGTATATTTATAAGCTGTTATAGAATCATCATTAACTTCCGAAATTGGATCATTTTGGAAATATGTGGTCGAATAGACGGACATGGCTAGATAGAATCCACTTGTGATTCTCATCTATAATATACTTATATACTTCATGGAGTCGGATACTCTTTCATCTACCTATTACATAGTTGCCTTGGTGCCTCGAGGAGCCCATTCACTAATGGGTATTGCGCAAAATTAATTTTCACAAATTCTACAACATACTTTTACGCAACAAAAATTAATATTTCAAGTAATCCATATATTTCCCAAACACTTCGAAGTAGCAAAAGCTAAAAACATTAAAATAAACAAACGATGGATCCCATTTCTCCGGGTTTTATCGAGAGGGTGGCATATCAAATGGCCAATTTCTCAGTTACTGCAACCAAACACTGGCGTATGAGACATAAATATTAATTGGTATTGGCTTACACAGCTGTTTTGTGTATGGCTGCCATAAACAACAAAAAGTAATATTCAAGTCTAGAGACAAAGCTAAAGCAAAATACCAGGCGGGTGTGCTGAAATTGCATTTTGAAATGTTGTATAACTTGATTTGCAGGCGCGATCGGTGAGCTGTTTTTGTTGCAAATTAAATGTTGTTGCTGCAGCGGCTGCCATGCAAATGCGTTCTAAAAGCCTTTTCGAGTTATTAATGTGCATATATGGTCAGTAAGTCAGGCAGGCGCTCAGTCAGTTTGATCAGTTGGCTCACATCTCCCTGCGGGAGCAAATCAATCGGTACACTGCGAGAAAATATGACTCCTAAGCAAAGTAATTATACTCAGCTGAGGATAATACCCGACTATCTATTTGGGTATCTATATAATTGACAAAACCCAAATAATAATAATAATAAAAAAAGAAAAAACTATAAATGAAAACTCTGAAAGGGAAATAATTTTAAACTGTGTTCTATAGAATTGTATATTCAAGTATATTACTATGTTCAGTTGCATTGTTGAAACTATTAAGCTAAAGATTAGGCTTTTTATCTTGCAGTACATAGAAAACGAAATGGTTTTAGAAAAAGCAGCACAAGTCAGTTGAATTGAAATATTTATGACCTATGTAAGTGTAAGTACGTCCCGCCTTTTCATATCTCCAAGGTAAATGGCGTGCTTATCGCCGCTTTTAAATAGAATCATTCAAAAACCCATAAATATGAAATGCTCAATTTGCCACTCAATTATTTCAGCGATAAGAATAAGTTCAACTTTCAGAAGGTTCCCAAAAAAGCAAAATTATTAACTATTATAATCGATTTCTAGTTAATTAAAATTCGTAATTTGTAGTCATATTTTTTAATCGTCTTATAAATGTTGGGTGGTAGAAATGTAATGGTATTCGGCCAACAGAAGCTGAACGGTTTTCGGGATCTGAAGAGTTGAGAGTTCCCAGGGGCGTGATAAGACCGAATGATCTGAAGAGCCTCCACATAAGTTTTTACATATTTATGTACATAGCTGTGCCGGCGATCGGCTCTTAACAAGCTCACCGCTAAGTGCTTCATGTTTGCGTTTGGCCCGGAGTAAATTTGATTTGATTTGTGTTGATCTACTGTCCACCTCCTCCTTCTCTCCCTTTTCTCTTCTCTCATCCTCTCTTTTCTAGCACGTCTTTCTCCTCTTTTTTGCGGGGGCATTCTTAAAGCGGCAAGTGTCAAGCGATGCGTGGCACCGTTCAATTTAGCGCCGCGCAAGCAATTCAAACTCGGATTCATATTACTTTTCATATTCAACTTCAACTTGAAATACACTAAGCGAATACAAAGGGCAAACACACAGAACAAAATTTAATTATATTTTAGAATGCCTATTTGTATAAAACATTCATAAATAATTCACTTCATATTTTTTATTTCGACTTAATAGAAAGAAACATAGGAAAACACTCGACAAATGTTTTATTTTATATTTGTTGTCAATTATTTTGATTTTTAATTACATTTTTTGTTTGTGTTTTCTTTAAAACCTAAAATACAGAAAGCGAATTGATTTTCTCTCCAAAAATGTCAGACCAATATAAGAAAAGTAATACTAAATATTAATATGAATTATTGGTTTTTTATCTCAATCCATAAAATTATCAATTTAAATACAAGTCATGGAATAACAGCTCTAATGATCGTTTTTTTAGGTGCTTCTTCCTCACTTTTTAAATTTTTTTTTCTTTTTTAAGTTTGTTTTTGAGCTTGCGATCGTTTGAGAGACGCTGCCTCTAAATCGCAGCAGCCAAACTGGCGCTCGTTCAACTTAAAATTGCTAAAGAAGAGAGCAAAGCGCAGGAGAAAAATTCAAAGAGAGAACTCAGCAGTGATGTCAATTATGGCCGGAAAAAACGCTAAGACATAAAAAAGGCTAGGCTCAGAAATTCGTAAGCATTACGTATACGACTGTTCGTAACCAAATTGCGCATACGACCTGTTTCATAACTTAAGTTTTATGTAACTAACATCTTATTTCCGTTTTCCTCGCAACATAATTTAGTGAATTTGTATGCACAAATCCATTTTTAACCCTTGGGCAACTAAAACTTATTTTTAAAGCATTGTTCAAAATTGACTTGCTGTTGTTGAAATTTCAAATACTGAACATTACGGTTTTGCAATCACTTATAAAGGTGTCAGAAGTACGCAACAATATTTTTGAAAAGGATAAGTTCGATGCAATTCATCACAAAAATCTAGTCGATTTTTGACTACTGATTTTTGGACACCTTTATACATAAGTGATTTCCCTGGATTTGGGGTAGAATAAAAGCTGAACGCCCAGCACTGTCTGGCGTTCTGCCGTCGCCGCTGCGCGTTTGCCGCTCGTGGCCGGAGATTGGAAGTGGAGATTCGCGGTTGGCGTTCAGCGTTTAGCGTTCGGCGGTTTGGCGCTCAGTTTGTCATTTGCACGCGCTTACGCCGGTTGGCCGACCAACAACAACAGGGCTACAGAACCGCCTGACCGCTCGCGTGTTTCAGTTTGGTGCGCTGATTTCACTGCTAATATAAATAAATGCGAATATTTACTTGGGCAATTTACGGCTAAGGTTCGCTTACATATATGTATGTATAGGTTTTTTTTTTTAAGTGTGTCTATATTTTCCATATGTGTCAAAATCTTCGTGTGTGTGTGTGTCTGGAACCACCATAAAGTTCAAAGTAATAAAAAAAAAAATTGTAGGGAGAGAAGAAAAATTTGTTTGCGTTTGCGTTGCAAAAATGCCGAGAAATGCTAAAAAAGAACTCAAACAAACAGAGACGAAGAATTCGTTCCTCTCCCAGTTCTCTTCCCCTTATATTTCTCGGTGATCATGATCACCAGCCCACGCATCAAAACAAAACAAACCAAACAAAAACAAATCAAAGCCCCAAACAAGAATTTAACATCTCTCTATTCTGCGATTTAATTTTTTTTTTTGCAATTCCCCTGAGGGAATCCAAATTAGCAGTGTATATTTGTGAACAAACGCCCCCTTGCCAAATAAATAAAAAAAAGTATATAATACAAATTGGCAGACACCTTGCCATATATCCATATCCATTATGTCCGCCGCTCGTCATTATCGTATTTTGATATTTCAAGGTTAAATGACGACGAAGAAAAGCAAACGTGAAATAAAAATCTGTTTTTAGTTTGTTCTTGCCATAAAAACAAACGGCAAAAGTCAAAACTAAACGTCAAAGTTGCAAAGAGTTAGTGGAAATGTGCTTCAAAGTACAGTCAAGTCTCCAGAAATCGAACTTCTGCTTGGAAGACTTTAAAAACATTTTATTATATGTTTCTCCTGATTTCCAAGAATATTTTAAAAGGTGGAAATTTTCCAATTTCAAATATTGTAACACTCATATGCTATAATCTGAATGATTAAATACAATCAAATTTGGAGCCTTCTAACCTCAAGTTACTAAATAATGATAAATGTTAAAATTAGTTTTAATCTCCTTATCTTTTCTTTATTTAAGTCATAAATGAATCTCACTTAAAATGTAAGAGTATACAATTTTAAAACGTCATTAACCATAAATCTTTATCAAAATGGTATTTAATGACACAATTTAGGAACTATAACATAAATCGAATTCTGTTAAAGGTTTAACTTATATACTTTACACAGGGCCAAAGTCAACGTTTATCGAAATTTGTGCCAAGTGTATGGAAACAAACAAAAGACAACAGAAACCAAAACAACTTGCACGAATTTCAAGTAGTAGAAAGCAAAGAGCAGCGGCGCAACAGGCTAAAAACATTAACCCCGTCAAGTGCCCTCAGCATTCTACTACTACTTTTTCGCTTTTCAAGTGGTTGGACCTTTGGCTAAGTGAGCTTTTGCGGTAGATTCGCTTTTAACAATAATTTTAACGAGCTTCGAAAGAAAGTCGGTGACAATTTTGCAACCGAAAAGATTTGCCTAATTGCTGGAAAGTCTGCAGTTACATGTTATCTTTCAAGATAAAATGGACAGTAAGAAAAATAACAAGTTTAACATTTTCACTGAAAAGGCTTTGTTATCTGTCGTTGCTATTTTAATTTAGATTTAGATCATATAGAATAACATTTTAGGAACCTTTAAAATGTGTTGTTTCTTACAAAGAAATCTAAAAAAATCTTTTTAATTCAGAAATCTTTGACTTTGAATATAGCTGTGACAATTTTATATTTATGTATCTAACCATTAGAGTTTATCCTCAATAAATAACTAGAACTGGGTATTTACTCATTACCTACTTTACCATTGTTTTTTGTTGGACTGCTTTTTCTTGATGTCGGAAATTCAAAAATATATTTAAATATGACTGTCCCTCAATCAAAAATACTCCAGTTAGTCATTAAATTAGCAGGTAATGCAATTCTGCCGTGTAAACTGCATGGAGTAATGTAATATACACATGTGTCATCCTGCGAAAATCGAGTCAAGTGGTGTGGCAATCGCTCGAGTTACTGACTCATTCATTATCTTATCGCCATCGATAAAAAGTGCGATAAGATGGTGCTTTTAACCCGGATCGAATCGGGTAATTGGCAGAATGCAACGGAATTCAGCTATTTTGAAATGTGAACTCATTGCAATCGCACCCTCGATTCGCTTAGTTGTCTTTGATTTAATTCAAGTCAATGGTTACAAGTCCATGAAATGTGCTAATTATTGTTTGCACTTACAATTGTGGTTAACAAAAATGCCAAAATACATATATGCATTTTAAAAGCTTTGTTTGCACATTAATTGAAACATTGCTGCAACCTCAAGTGATTTTGAATTTCTAGTTAAGTTAAGTAATGCACAACTAACTTTTTTAAAACACTAATATTTGGAATAATTAATAGTGAGTAACAGTTTTATACTTGAAAATCTAATACTTTTCTACTTCTATTTTATTTTAAACAAGAAAGGAAAGCTAACTTCGGGCGGAGCCGAAATTGATATACCCTTGCAGAATACTCTGTAAATTATATTCTCCAAAATTATTCATATGAAGCATTCTTAATACTTATAAAATATCCCAACTTCCTAACTTTAAGAACACCAAAGTTATGGCATTTCCGATCGTTCAGTTATATGGCAGCTATAGAATATAGTCGGCCGATCCTTATGAAATTTGATAGGTCGGATTGATTGGCCAAAAATAAAAGCCATAGAAAATCCCAGCTTCCTAACTTTACAAACACCAAAATTATGGCATTTCTGATCAATCAGTTATATGGCAGCTATAGGATATAGTCGGCCGATCCCGGCCATATATACTGACATATATATACTGACATATATACTGCGTGCAAAGGAAAGAAGGGTGTGTGCAAAGTTTGAACTCGATAGCTTTAAAACTGAGAGACTAGTTTGCGTAGAAACAGACAGACGGACAGACAGACGGACAGACGGACAGACGGACATGGCTATATCAACTCAGGAGGTGATCCTGATCAAGAATATATATACTTTATAGGGTCGGAGATGTCTCCTTCACTGCGTTGCACACTTTTGACCAAAATTATAATACCCTCTCAAGGGTATAAAAATTGGTATTTCTTGTTATACCCTTGCAGAGGGTATTATAATTTCAGTCAAAAGTTTGCAACGCAGTGAAGGAAACATTTGCGACCCTATAAATCACATAGGTCGGAACGAGCCAGATCGGGCGACTATATCATATAGCTCCCATAGGAACAATCGGAAAAACAAATTTTAAAAAAATATAACTTTGTTGTTTTTAATTATTTTTTTTGTTCTTTGCGATTTGATTTTATTTAAATATTATATACATAGCTGCCATAGAAACGATGCAAAATGCAGCGCGAAATCGACGTAGCTTGTTTTTAGTAATATAGGCATAGAAATCGAAATGTGGTCGATTTGTAATAACTGCTTCCCTTCTTGTTACCTAAAGAAATATAACAGAATAGTATGGAATTAATAGTCCTGGCTAAATAATTTATAGAATTTTAAAGTTGTGGTTGGCTCGGTCCTACAGAGTTTTGACATGTTAAAGTATTGCTCCTAATTGAGCAACGGGTAATTGAAGCGGATTGTGCCTCCGATTCTGATTCCACGGATTCGACTGTGCGTGTAAGCGAGTTTTCACTTGACAGGAAATGCAATTGCGCATTAATTTAATTTCCTAAGCCCAAGTACACTAAATGAACACCACTTGATTTAATAGGACTTACCCCAAAGGGTTGACCACCGCGTCTGTTACACATCCGGAATTCAAGGGCATTATTATACACTTTTTAAGTCTTAGATTATTAAAGCAATCATGACATCAAATTTTAAAGTTTAAGAGATAAGAATATCTCTTTTCGCCAGGAAATGCATCATATTAAGTATACACCACTTAGATGTGAAGTCTTTTGCTTATGTATAAATTTATAGTCCATGGAGCAAAGAAAAGAATAAAGAATATAAAGCAATAAATGTGATTTGACAAAGGAAAACAAAACTAAGTACAACCATGACACATCAAGGTTATCTTCATAGTCATAATGACAAAAGCTTTTCACGAGTTTAGGGATTATAAAAGTACTATAATATATAACAAGAGAGAACGCTATAGTCGAGTGCCTCGACTATTAGATACCCGTTACTCAGCTAAACAACTTTAGATTTTGCATTAACATAATGTGAATTGGAGTGACCACAGGAAAAAAGGACAAAAAGTTCAAATTATCAATTTGAATTAGGCGATCTCTTAGAGCTGACAGCTTTACAGCACGAGCATCAGCACCAGCGCTGCTTTAGCGCAGGCAGCTTTTGTCCTGCACCAGCATACGCCACATACGCCATTGTGTGACTCAGACCTCCAATTTGGCTAACTTGATTTGATTTACATAGTTCTTGGGATATAGTTCGGTATTGACAAATGAAAACCATCGCAATTTCATTTAATAGAAAATCCTTATCGAGAATTAACGTTGACTCTGTTGAGCACCTTGGCCAGCTGTTCCAAAGTTATCCGTTAGATGGCGCTATTGTATTGCGCCATCTACCCCATGTAGAAATGTAGGCGCTAGCCAGGCTTAAGCGTTTAATGGGTTTTTGGGCGTTAGAGTGGGCGTGGCAAACTTTTATTAGACCAATCGATAGGTATTGACGAAACAAATACATATCAATTAAAATTTTCATAATAGCATCAAAACTGTGGCCACAGCTTGTGGCTTGTGGGCGTCAGAGGGGCGTGGCACCATTTTGAAACAAACTTGCACTGCGTAGGAACTCCTAAAATCTACATGCAAAATGCCAATCTTCTAGCTTTTATAGTTTCCGAGATCTCAGCGTTCATACGGACAGACAGACGGACAGACGGACATGGCTAGATCGACTCGGCTAGTGATCCTGAACAAATGAAGAATATATATACTTTATAGAGTCGGAAACGCTGGGCTTTATCTATATACTTTTGTGGAGTTCAACACCTTGTTATTATGTATTTAGCTTCACTTCTTGAGTGTTTTTTCCCCCGAATATCTGGGACAGTCTAAGATGGGATTATAAAAGTATTAAAATATATAATAATATTATTACTTCTATGAATAATAAAATGGTGTTTATCTATATACTTTTGGGGAGTTCAACACCTTCATATTATGTATTTAGCTTCACTTCTTGAGTGTTTTTTCCCCCGAATATCTGAGACAGTCTAAGATGTAAACTCGTAATATGGAAAATTCCGGATCGAGCTTCATGAAACACTTGGCATGAACGTATGTGAGTCTGTGGAATGCCCATTCGTGACGGTTATTCGAATTCCTCGACTCGTGCGCAAATATTTAAACAGTGGCTCAAGTGGCGATGGCAAACTGACTCTGCCGCTGACTAAATTTCCTCTCGCTCAAATTGAGTTCTATAAACAAATGGAAATGGCCATAAACAAATAGCAAAGCATAATTGCTTATGTTGGGGTACTCAATTTTCCCATTTCCAGGGCCAAAGAGACCTCCGAATTCAATTAACAGCCGTCGTGATTGGAGGGCAGGAGAAAACTGGTGAAGTGATCACAATTGGAGAGGGTGTTGTGATTCAATTAGAGCCTCGTCCGGCTTGAAAGCAAGTTGGTTTGCGATCGCTCTTGGGCAATTTCGTTTGCTGATTATGATCGACACTCTTAACTGGCCAAAGTAGTTTGTCAAAATTTCGCCTCAAGATCGGTAATCGATCACCCAGTTTTGTAACAGCCTCAATATTTTTGTCATTGCCTTGCAACATTCTTTCTCAAAAAACTGGGAACTGGCTACTGAAACTATTATAAAAGCTATAATATTAGTTTTCCAACACACTATTTCATGATATTTGTAAATTAGGATAATTTATTTCACATTTTAAAGAAGTTTAATTGGGTAGTCCATTTTCTATATTTTTTGTATGTACACTTTCATAATATATTGAAATAATTAAAACGATTTAAATTGTGGTTAAAACTATCAAAAAATATATTTAAAAAAACTTACGTGTGATCCAGAAAAGCTGATTCTGGTCACAGGATGTTAATAAAAATAAGAATTTTGCACTAGGATATTACTAACGCGCTTCCATGAGTTTACTGACGTGTAGTTTTTGTGCTGACTTTTAATCAACTACTTTGCTGACTTTTCTTAACAACCATTTTTATCAATAATTAAATGCGTGATAGAAGGAAGAAGGTAGTGACAAATTTTTGTTGCATACTTCACGGTATTTATACGGTATTTACCAAACTTTTATCAAAGAATGTTAAAAGCTCTTTTAGGAACTTAACTCTTCAAAGCACTTAACTAATTTCAATTATGAGTGTAATTACTCGAGGGAACAATATTCGAAATTTGAATTATGAGTGTTATTACTCGAGGGAACAATATTCGAAAATTCTTTTTCAAGGGAAATAACATGAAAGTTCTTGTCAATTTAAAAACGAAATTACCGTTTTCATCTTAATTCTAAATACAATTAAACAAAAAAAAACTATTGAAGTAATAAGTGTATTGGCTACTATTATACAATTTTTATTTTATAGAACGCCTTTAAAAATTATTTTTGAACGATAGGTTCAATTAAGAATGTCTTTTTTTTGTTTTCATCTAATACAATGAGAAATCAAATTGGTATAGAATTGTCGCAATTATCAGCTATAAACATAAGTTATATATTTCCTGAAGTATTCTTAAATATGTACAGGTACTTTTAGTTATTAAAGTTGGGGAAGAACTATGTACCCATATTCTGTGCTAAATAGAGGAACAAATTGAACTCATTTGTGGGGTGACGAGCCGAAAAGACACACACACCACAGCGATTTGCCACACAAATGCAATCACACGACTGTAACCCATACACCCATACATATGTATGTGTATACATATATATACACTACGTAGATAAGCAACACCTTCAAAGATAAGGCTGGAACGAATCGGACTTTATCAGCATTTCCACGGAACGCTTACGGCGGAGAGCAGTGCAAAACGGAGCGGATGGTAAACACAACTGAAAAATGAACGGAGAATAGGCGAAACGAGAGTGAGAAGCACAAGTTAATATGAGTGAATAATTAGCCATAGGCGGGATCAGTCGAGAAACCATGCGGAATATCAGAAATCTCAAGGATCCCACGGCATGGAGATGGCTCCACCTGCTCCTCCTCCTCCTCCCCCTCTCCGTCCAGGCGGATCCGACGAAGGTGACCTGCCGGGAATACGGCACCGCCATCACCTGCGACTGCAACAACGCCGAACAGGTGAGTCACCTCCCAAGCAACATAACTTATGTATGTTCACATACGGCTTGTCTAATTACAAATTAAATGAACCATTTTTCAAAAGTAGCAATCCTATTTTATGACTCAGCACTCACGCAAAAAAAGTTTGAAAAGTTTGTTAATAAAATTTAAAAAGAATCATCTCACAAAAAAACATAACTAATGTCCAATTACAAATTAAAATAACCATTTTTTAAAAATAGCAAACCTATTTTATGACTAATTTCAAAAGTTTGTTCATAAAGTTTTAAAAGAGTCACCTCACAAGCAATATAACTAATGTTTCTAATTAAAAATTAAATTCTCAACATTTCTCCAAAACAACAAACCCATTTTATGACTCAACATAAACACAAAAGCTTTTAGTAAAAGTTTTAACAACTGATAAGTGAACACTATTCTATTTTTCAATGGCTAAATGAGAAGCGAAAGTATTATTTCATAAGTAAACATATCAAAAGGATATGACAAATACCACAAGAATCAAATAAACTTAGGTCTAACGCAATGTTTATTTATATATGAGTAATAATTTCAAGCAAAAGATGATACACCTTTTCTTCTTCAGTAGGTACATATAATTGTTTAACTCGTAATCAAACGACCTAATATTTTATTGTAAATATTAAGTATTTGCTTTAACAATTCCCCATTCAATATGGGTGGAGTTATAAGACAAGTTGTAACTTATGTCTGAATGTATATTATTTGGTATTAGACTTTAATAAACCTTTCCTTATTTTCAGCCCATGGTTTTGCCAACACTGCACGGTGGCGTTAACCAAGTGGAGATCCGGAATTGTCGCGATCTTGTGGTGGAGGCGAATCGACTGGCGGACACGGTGGGCCTGCGGAAGGTGACCTTCCGCCAGGTGGGCCAGCTGGTGCTCCGGGAACACGCCCTGAGTGTGCCGCGCTATGCCAGCAATAAGGCTCTGATCGTGGAGTTCGAGCAGACGAACCTCCAGCTGATCGAGTCGCATGCCATCAATGGCAACATCGAGGAGATCTCATTCGTGGGCGGGCGGATAGAGCTGATGAAGCCCTTCGGGTTCACCACCACCAAGGACAGTGCCATATTGCTCAAGTTCGACGGGGTCACCATTCAGCGGATCGAGAGTCAGGTGCGTCGGATGATACGACTCTATCGTATTCCATGATCACTTATTCCCCCGATATCACTTGCAGGCCTTCAAGAAGTTCTCCGTTGAACAAATGACCATCGCCAACTGCCAGTTCCTGGGCGATCTGCCCACCCGTGCTTTCTACGAACTGGAGGTCACCAACGAGCTGAGCCTGCGGGCTAATCACTTCCAGGAGGTTCACTCCCATGCCTTCTCTTTCAAACGTAAGTGTTGATGTGGGGTGATTTATCGGTTTGTTTGGTATTTCAAATTTATCAATACTTTTTCAAGTAAACATTTTTCGTGTGAATTGACAAAATATAAAACCCAAGAATCAGCGATAAGTTATCGCTGCTTTAGGACTTGTTGTTACTTGGAAAGAAATCGTGTGCCTTTTTTTATCTTTAAATATGAATGTCAGTTTTGGAACAAATTTAAAATAAAGTTCTCTAGCAATTTAAATTCATTTCTCACGATTTTAGTTTAAAAAATATTCACTGTATATTTTACACACTATATGACTTAATAAATAACTAAAGTTTGAAACCTTCTGAAATTTATGCTAAACACCTTTTCCAAGTTATGTATAGATCTACAAAAGGCCATTTTTAAGATATTTCTTGCTTTTTCAAATGATCTTTTTATAAAACTAAATTCAATCTAATCCAAACCAATCATCTTCTATAGATTTTATTGAAACCCGAGTAATACGATATCCTTGCTTCAATCTCTTTCAGTTGTTTCCAAGTTGAGTCTGAGCGAAAACCACTTTGTGTCCGTGGATGGCGAGTGGTTTGAGGCGCAAATCCGGGATGGGGTCACCATTCGAGGCAACGATTTCGGGGCCACCAGTGAGATCGCCTTCCGCAGCCTCACCGTCCACCGATCGTATCAATTGAGCGAGCACCTGGAGCTGCGATTCCACAACAACAGCCTGCGAAGCGCTCGTCCAGGATCGGATCCCAGAGCAGATGGCACTGGAGCGGAGGTGACACCTCAACCCCTGCGTTTCGACGAGAGTTTCGCCCTAAATGTCCGCGATCTGCGCTACGATAACTCCTGGAGCTGCTCACAGCTGGACAGGAATGTGGAGCCTCCGTTGCCACGGGCGGACTTCTTCCGGCTCCACAGTGATCAGCTGATGTTCCATCCGCCTGACTATGTGGCCAATTCCGGGGGAGTGCGCCAAGTCCAGCCCTATATGCCACTGCGTTCACTCATCACGGATCAGTGTCGCGAGCAGAGCTACATGGCCTACATCGTCTTGGGAAGTGTGCTCCTGGGTCTGCTGCTGCTCCTCCTGATCTTTTTGCTCTGGTGGCGAGTGGTGCAAAAGCGCAAGCGCCGCAAACTGGACGTAGTGCAGCCGGAACCGCGCACTTACAAGGAGACTCAGATCGTATACCAAATCGAAAATGCTGGCCTGTTGAAGACTGATTTTTAGATGCCAAGGAAAGACACCACACTTGGGGATAAATGTTAATCTCCAAGATATCGAGAGTTCATCACAGAGAGCCCACGACAAACAACACAACCACAGAGACACAGAGCTGAATGAAGCTAGAGGAGCAGGTGGTGGAGCGGCTGGAGCACCACCACCCATCAAACGGAACCACCAATGCGTGACCTTTCGCTGTACCAAAACCATAGCCTACAAGTTAGTCGTTAAATATCTTATTCTAATTATGCATAACTCGTAATGTTTGTCAGTTTTTAAGTGGCCCATGTAAATAGTCGCATGTAGATATATAGGCTGAGATCTTGCCCAGAAATATCCAGGTGGGTTTGCCATATCCCATCAAATATTAATGTGGAATAAATCAATATAAAGCCAAAACGGTTTGCTTGTTTTTTGTATGGTTAATATTTATACTAAAGGTTTCTCAACTAAAATGTAATATTAAATTTGGCACTCTTTCATTATTTGACAAGCTTTACTAATTAGATTTCTTCTAAACAAATAGTCTAAGCTTTCAATTAATGAACATTTTTAAAAATACACAAATCTAAGGGCAAAGATAGCTGGCAAAATATTGTTTACAAATAGAAAATGACAAGCTAAAATTGTGTATATTCAAATTTTAGGTATGTTTTTGGAGATTGACTGTAATTTACTGTACACATATGTTTAATTAAAAAAAAACATTCTTGGAAATATCTTTGAAATGTTTATATTTTTGTTTATGAGGCCCTTTTAACAAAATCAATTTCCTAAGCCATATAAACAAGAATGAATTGGAGAACTCACCCGATGGGCAGATACGATTCCAGAGCCTGGTGCACTGTCAACTGGGGTTCGGATAGGGCGAATCCTTTGGAGAGCAGGGTGTGATGGGCATTGATGGTCTCCTCGACGCCGCTCATGTCCTCCACATCCTTGTCATCTGATGGCAAAAACACGATGTTAGGCATATATGATTAAATTATAATACTTTTGCATTAATCACCTGGCAGATTGAGCTCCTTCTTCATGAGATTGGCACTGCACATCCCACCCAAGTAGGCCAATTCCTGCTCCAATCGTATTAGACACGAGTTGCTGGCATTGATCTGAGCGAGAGAGAGAGAGAGAGAAGCATGGTTTAGAAAGAGATGGGCTTACATGTGGAGTGCACTCACCGATGTGGGATTGTCGTAGCCCACCACCAGACACTTGAAGCCATAGCGATTGTTGTGCGGATCCTGGGCATAAAGTGAGGCCGTCTCCAGGGAGAATTCCACGCAATTGCCGGGCAGGATCAGGACATTGTGCAGCCAGGTGGAGGCGCTGGAAGATTAGCAGGGTCATTAGTCGATTATTTTCGATGGCAAACTTTAATGAGATAGGTGTCCACTTACGTGTTGAACTTTTTGACCACAATCCACTCCCTGTCATTGGGATCCTGGCTGCGCAGGGGCGTGGCATTGGCAGCGGCAGCCGCAGCGGATCCTGGCGCATTGCCACCGCCCGGACTGCGACAGCAACTGGCCATGGTCAGTTGGACACTGGCGGATCGCTGGTGTGAACTCGGTCCTGCCCCACTGCCGGCCATGCCACCTTCGGCAGCCCGTCTCCTGTCCGCCGCCGCCGATGTGCCCAGCACATTGTTATCCGCCTGCTCCAGATAGTCATCCACATGCGGAACGGGCGGTGCCTGCGAGGCGGGACGCATCGGAATTGAGAGCAGCAGGTAATCCTCCAGCTGGGCAGTGCCACACTGCGGATCGAACTCGATGGTGAGCCACTGGACGCAGGGCGGGAACTCAACGCGATAGCTACTAATGCTGGCACTCCGGTACGGATGCTCGCTCTCCACCAGACAGTAGTGGTTACTCGTAGTGCTGCTGCTCGAATTGGAGCCGGAACTGGAGGTTTGCGGTGCAAAGAGTGCGGGTTCCGGCTGACGTTGATCCTTGGACACGTGCAGTTGATTCAGGGCGGCGATGTGCGGCAGGATCTCCTTGATCAGGCCAAGTATCTGCACGGAGCTCTTGGGATCACTGCAGGCCAGATTGGCAATGTGTGCATAGACCAGTGGCAGTAGGGTGTGGAACATATTGGAGGCGGCCAGGTTGAAGACCTCCAGCAATTGCACGGCGGCCACTTGACTGCCCACGGCTGCCACTCCGCCGGATCCACCGGCCATACTCGCTCCACCGGCAACGGAAGCAGCAGCCGCCATTCCGGCCACCTCCAGAGGAGCCTCCTCCGAATCGGAGTGCACTTGTTGCGCCACCGACTGTTGCGCCGGCTGCTCGGCTATTTCGAAATCGCTCGTCCTCTCATTGCCATTTATCGGCACACTCTGACTCTGACTTTGACTTTGACTCTGGTTTTGACTCTGACTCTGGCCATTCCTTAGATCCGCCGACTCCTCCACCTCGGTGGCTCCAATCTCGATTTCCATCTCGAAGGGGTTCGTCGATCGCTTATCGAACTTGAGCGTCTCCATCAGTCCCTTGGAGAAGGACTCGATGCGCTTGCCCAAATCCCTGGCGGTGGACAGCTGTGGATCCACCGCACTGGGCAGGGCAGCTGTCCTCGAGTTGTTCGCCCAGTTGATGTCCATGTGCTCTTCGATGGGTGTGATGTTGTGCTCCGAGTCGATGGTCTGTGTGTGGTTGGAACTGTATTCGGAGGGCGAACAGGAGGCGGCCATGGCGTTGCGTGCCAGGATCAGTAGTTCAGTGCACTTTTTGGTGATATCAGCGGCGATCTGCAAAGCTGTATCTCGGGTGGAGACCTCGTGCGGCCCAAGGAGCATCATGCGCTCCTCCATGTGATTGGCCACACTCGCACCGTCGCCACCTCGTCCACTGGCCGAGTTGCCGTCCTGTTTCATGGGTGTGCTGTAGTACAGGATGCAGGGCAATTGACCCCTGGCCGGCGTGGTTCCATTGAAGCTCAGATCGCAGGCATAGAAGTGAAACTGGGCGCCACAAGGTCCTCGAACGGCCGGCATCCCGGCATCGCCGCTGCAAGTGCGCGCTCCCTGCGAGCACAGCCTCAATGCGTAGCGGGCATTCTCCTTGATGTGCACCGGATGGTCGAACTTAATCTCCGCCAGATCGTTGTGCACCGCCTCCTGGTCGTAACTGCCCGACACCGACTCCAAAGTCTCCCACTTGTGCTGCGGCTGCAGATCGGCCGTATTGTCGTACAGCAACTCCAACTGGTAGTCATAGCTACCCGAACCCGAGTAGACCATGGCGCCAGCTATGGCCACACCAGGTCGATCCACGGCAAAGGCGATGGCGTCGGGTCCAAAGTTGCCCGTGTTCCAGGTGCGACTCACATCGCAGCGGGCGAAGCGAGCGCCCGTCGAGTGGAGCGTTCTGGGCGGCATGAACAGCTTGTCGAACTCCCCCATCGCCGTTTGGTAGACAATCTCGGCCAGAACTCTGGCCAGCAGGTGGCAACAGTTGTCGATTAGGCCCTGATTGACGCACTCCTTGCCACCGGGATAGCTGCCACCGAGACTTCCCAGACTCCGGCTGTAGATGGCCTCGATGCGGGATCGTATGGGACTGGCGATTATGTCCAGCAGACGCACCAGCACGTCCTTGAATGTCCACGAATTGCTCAGGAAATCGCTCTTCTCCTGCTGCGTTCGGTATATCATTTGCTCCACCAGCACGGGATACGGATGGGCATCGGTGGAGGAGAGCATGGGCAGGCCGGAATTGTCGCTGGGACTGATGATCGACTGGCGTTCGTTCCCAGCCGCACTGAGCAGCGAGAATGTGGCTCTGAGTTTCACCGACGGCGAGCAGAGTCCCGCCAAGATCGCACTTAGCAAACGGGAGTGCAGTGCTCCACGGTCCATCTGGGCGAGCAGGTCGCATAGGCAGTTCCACTTCAACGAGGATGTCGGGTAGAAGGCATCGAAACAGGCCACGAAACTTAGGTGGCACTCGTCCAGGATCTCTAGCGACAGTTCGTAGCCTGCAAAGGAAACAGGGATCATAAGGATCATAGTTTAAATACCCTTGCTTCAAACTCACCCTCATCCGTGGCTATGTCCTTGAAGATGTCGTCACAGAAGATGCCAATCAGCAGGGCCCTCACATTGCCAATGCACTCCGCCAGCTGGATGTTCTCCATGTTGGTCTTCCGGGTCACGGGAGTTCCGCTACCAGCTGCCACAGCTGCCGAAGCCGATGTGGATGGTGCTCCGCCGCTGCTTCCGCCACTGCTGATCATCGCTGGGGCCACCGATGGCGATGGGTCGCCAAAGTACTTGGCCATTACGGCCGCATTGCCCATGACGCGGGGCGCATTCTTGTCTGTTGTTTGGAGTTTAAGGAGTACATTAGCATGGGAAGAGTGAATAATACTAGAAAGCTTCACCTTTGTTCGCCTTGGACTGGACCTTGGACACCATGCCACTGCCATGGGCTTCGTTGGAGCCCGCATTCGAGGTTAGCGACGTGGAGGAGCTCCGCTGGGGGTAAATCTCGTTGGTGTACTTGCGCAGCAGGCGCAGACACGACTTGATCACATAGCCGAGGTACTGCAGCGACTGCTGCAGCTGCAGTGGCCTGGAGCGATCCCGCTCCTCGCGCAGCTGCAGCTTGAAGCAGTCCCACGACCAGCTGAGCAGGACCACCAGACTCTCGAAGCACTCGCGACTCACGCTGTTGGCAAAGGCGCGGGAAATCCGCTGCACCGGATCGGCATCCATTTGGGCCGGCGTCTGTTTGCAATCCTGGGTCACCAGGCGGTACAGAATGGCCGGTATCTGGCCGGAGTTTACGTCGGTGCCGTTGTTGGCCTTCTTGCTGGACTTGAAGGAGAAGACCACCTGGTCCTCGGTGGTCACGGAGGCCTGGCCGCAGGAACCGCAATCGGAGGAGGGACCTGCGATCCTAGCCCATACCAGGTACCACCTCCCAGCCACCGCACTAACCGGCTTGGGCAGGAGGATGTGATGCTTGCTCCGGGCGCCACACTCGTACGGCACCTCCTTGGTCTCGCCAATCAGGATGCCTTCCTTCTCGTAGCCGCCACCATCGCCGCCCAAATCGAAGAGCTTCAGCTTGCAACTGTACTCTCCGCGGCCGCCGAACATCCCGAAGCCACAGATCACGATATCCGTGTCCGCCGAGAACCTTATGGCCTCCACACTGTGTCCGGAGTAGCCCCATCCGCCGCCGAAGTTGTCGAACCGACTGACCACCTGGAATTCGCCGGCCTGCGTCTCCGCCGTCTGTTGCGTTTGCTTGAGCAGCGGCTGGTCGAAGCATCCGGGTATGTTGTCCTGTGCCGACGTGAGGATGTCCAGGCAGGCCAGTAGATTCAGTGAGGCCTGCGAGCGGGCCACGCGCGAATCCACCCGATCCGGCAAGGATAACTCCGGCGACAGCAAGGATCGATAGGTGGTGGAGTTCTGGAAGGGATCAAGGGGTTATTAGGGCCACCATAACACAGAGCTTCTCCTCAACTCACCGCATCGCTCTCGTTGATGTCACTGGCCACCACATTGTGGCAGCGCAACTTGCGTGCAGCGCCATCGAAGACCCACAGGACATTGTAGGTGGGATCCATGGTGAAGGCCAGTTGTGGTGGCGATGGTGCGGGTTCCGGGGAGCTGGCTCCCTGCTTGCCCACGCGACGTGATCGAGGTGCGGATCCTGCTGCCCCAGCTGATCCGGGTGTGCCAGGAGCTGCTGCTACTGCTGCAGCTGCAACGGAAGGTGACACCTCCGGTGGCTGCTCCTCGAAGATCTGGTTGCGGCCCTCATGCATGCTCCGCGACATCTGCTCGTTGATGGGCACACCCGCCGTGGCCGTGCCCGCCAAGGCCGTCAGCAGCGACGAGGTGGAGGCATGTGCCGGCGAATCCGCAACCGGAGTCACGGCCACATCCACATTGGAGTTTATCTCCGGCGCCACTTGCTCCGGCTGCGCCTGCATCAGTTGAACGAAGTTCGTCTGTCCGCGGTAGTGAGCCGTGCAACTTCCATCTCGTCGATTTATGGAGAGCGTGTGGAAGGACAGCGGAATGCTGGGGATGAGCACTGTTCCGGAACAGGATTAGTATTGCCTCTCAAGAAATTGGAGTGCAAAACACTTACATATCGTCTTCTTGTTTGCCACCACATGCATCTTGGGCAGCATTTGCGCCGTTATCAGGGATTCGTCTATCTTGATGAAGGTCTGGTCACCATTGGCTCCAATCCAGGTCACCTTTTTGCCAAAGCAGGGACCCAGGCCACTAAATAATTGGAGGAAAGAATTCAAACAATGAGCGATTATTAATGAGTATGTCCAAGTATGCAGTCAGCATTTGCACTTACAAAACGGCGCCGGGCGAGCAGTTCCACAGGAACTTCTGACGCTGGGTGAGCACCGGCATCAGCGGCGGCATCTCCTTGGAGCCGCTGGGCTGAACGGTGGCCGGGGATTGGGATCGTTCCGGTCCGGGCATTCCCACCGGCGCCACTGTGGGCGATCCTCCTGCTCCTGCTCCTGCGCCATCGGATCCTGCTCCTCCCACCGGTGAGTCTTCATCCTGGGGCGGGGGCTTCTGCCCGTAATCACTGGGTAGTCGTCCCAGTTGTCCCTTCTGGTAGTTGCCGAACGTGTAGACCATTCCCTTCGACGTCAGCAGCACGGTGTGGTTGCTACCGGCGGCCACTTGACTGATGGCTCCGGCCACCTGGACGCGAACCGGTCCGCTCACTGGCTGCAGGTCTCCACTGCCCAACTGTCCGTACTGATTGCTGCCAAAGGTGTACACCTCACCGGCCAGGGTGAGCACCACGGTGTGGTGCAGTCCACAGGCCACCTGGACCACCGGCGATGAGCTGGTGAGCTGCAGCAACTGCGGTGCGAGTGGAGCCACACGCGGTGGGTCCTTGTCCAGGTCTGTGGGCGTGGCAGCTCCTCCGCCGGCAGCTCCGGTTTCCAGTTCGCCCTTGCGCTCCTTGCGTCGCATGATTAGCGTTTTGGAGCGCTGCTGACGCTGTTGCACGTCACTTGGCGGAGGCTTCAGCTCCGTTTTGGCTTCTGCAGGAGGAGATAAGGTGTTAAAATACACACATACGTATAGGCGATCTGCCAAGGTCACTCACCATCGCTATCCTGGAGCGCAATGCAGGCGGCGCACAGTCCACACTTGGCACAGCCCGCATCTCCGTGTCCACAGGGACATATACTGCCCGCCAAGCGCTGATCCAGTGGGACATTCAGGGCGGAGACACAGCTGACATTGTAGCCAGTGCACTCCCGACAGATGACGCACACCCGGCACTGACCCTGCACCAGATTGTGGTCATCGTAGTCGCACAAGGTGGAGAAGTCCAACTTCAGGCGCTTGTCCAGTGGCAGCAGGGATGCAAAACAGGCGGCGGCCGTGGAGGATGAGGCGAATGGCGGCACATCCTTCACCGGCTGCAACTTGTTGAATATCCTGCCGCACTGACCCTTGTTATTCAGTCCGAACGAGAAGAGCTGTCCCTTGGCATTGAGGGCCACACAATGGGCCTTGCCCAGCGCCACCTTGGTCACATGCTGATCCAACAGCTCACTCACAAAGCCCATGGCATCGCAGTGGGCTGTATCCTTGCCGTACATTATTAGTTTTCCGGTTTTGGTCACAAAGGCGGAGGTGCCATTATTGCAAGCGGCATGAACCACCACATGACCATCGATCTTGGTCATCTTCTTCGGCTTAACCGCCTTCGGTTGCCTCCGATTCTTGCTGCTATCACCATCTTCACCGCGCCGAGCTGTTCCCGCAAAGAAGACGGTTCCATCGTCGTTCACCAGCAGAGCATGGATGCCATCGTGTCCCACGGCCACATGGACTATATTCGCCGCCTTGGAGATGACCAGTTCGGTGAGCTTGAGCGTCGGCGTGCGACCCACACACTTGAGTCCCAGGGCCGCTGACTTTCCATAGTAGTACACCCTGCCATTGCTGGCACGCACCAGGCCAAACTCCTTGCCACAAGCCATGCCCATCACATCCACATCCGCATCTCGGCACGGAGCCGGTAGCTTCGGCTCGAAGCTGTTGTGCGCCGATTGGATGCGCTGGATCTGGTACTGGTTGAGCAGCTCATCCTCGAAGGCGGCATAGCCCAAAGTTCGGAACTTCTTGCGGGCCAACTGAAGGGGCAGCTCGAAGGGTGGCGGGTCGATGTTGTAGCTATTGTGGTACAGGTTCAGCTTCTTCACCACCAGTGTATCCTATTTCAAACAGAGGGGGAGGTACTCATTAGTAAACGATATTGCTCTAAGCTATGTTGTTCAGTTAAAAATATATAGCTTCAATTTGGACTGCTGTAATTGATATTAAATAGTAAGAGATGACGCCCTTTTTAAATAACTTTTAATGAGGCTTTAAACAAACGAATACATTTCTGGTATTCTAGCTCAAATGCAACTGCTTAAATGTTTAAGACTGTACTTAACTCCCAACTTCAACATTTACATAGAAAATTGTACAATACTTAGATGAAATGACATATTTCTAGCATAATTTAACATTTATCATTATTTCTAATGGCAACAGGCTCTCAAAACATTATTTAAACATTATTATAACAAATGAAGTATCAAAATTTAATTTGTCATTCCACCCTTACAAATCATCCAACCTTCGATTTAATAACCTGCTTTAAAAGTGGTCTAAATCAGAAAAATGAAATAATAAAAATAACTGAATCTGAGAAAAAAGAGACATAAGAGGCTTAAGAATTCGCGAAAATATTTCTGTTGTTATATTACTCATATAAAACTATATTGAGAGACCATTCTCCAAAGCAAAAATTTAGTAATCGCTTAAAAAATCGAGGTTTTAATTTTTAATTTGGTTACTGGACATCTCAAATGAACTTTCCAACTCAGATTAAACACAAACACTCACATCGCGGTTGCTGCAGATGGCATGCAGTGAGTCGTCGTCCGTGAAGAGCACGTAGTTGAGTCCCTCGCGCATGTGGAGCATGCTCAATGGACTCATCGCCTTGATGGCCAGCGTGTCCAGGCCCACCATTTGCAGCTGGTCACCGGCACTGCGGCGACAGGTGCGCCGGAAGTAGAGCTGCCCGCCACTGTAGCCCAGCCAGGCACTTCGCTCGTGGCTGAAGTCCTCGTTCTGGGCATAGACGTGTCCCTTGTAGGATCCCCCGAAGCCAGTGCCGATCTTCAGCAGGGTTCCCCCGTAGAGTAGGTACACAAACACTCCATCGCAGGCCATCGCCGGCGAGGTGATGGGCGCACCCGTGCTCAAGGGCGGCAACTTCAGGGGGAACTGAAATAAAAGAGTAACATTAAATAATCAATAAACTAAGGCATCGAATACAATCGAAAACTAAGAACAACATTCTTTCTTTATATCTGACTTTGTCCTGAGTTTTTGGATTTGAAACCAGGATTTAAAGCTCTTAAAATAAGATTTGGTATTGTACTCTTTTAATCTAAGGAAAATTTTTATATTTTTAACAGCCTGGTTGGTAAAAAAAACATTAAACATTCATTATTTTAATATGAGAAAGATAATAAACTAACTAATCCCAAGTTTTCTTAAATTCACAGATTAAAATTTGACCTTTTAGGTGTTAAAAAGTAAAACATAACATTTCAAAAAGTATAAGTATATAGTTTACTTAGTTTTTTGGAAAGAATAAATGTTATCTTTGTTTTTATGATTGCAAATAGCAAGTGAGTAAACTTTGGTACTTCGTTGTCTCACCTCATCAATCAGGGAGTTGTGCGGCACCCCGTGGCTGTGAAAGTCCGGCCTGGTGGGCTTGTTCAGCGCCGCACTGACCACCGTGTGCTGCAGCGTGGCCAGCACCACCGGCAGCTGGACAATCTGGGCGGATAGCTGTCGCGGCGTCATCAGCATGGCGGCGATGGCCTTCAGCATCTTGCCGGTGTCGCCGCGGGCGATGCAGAGTCCCAGGAGCGCGGCACAAGCCATGGCCGACCAGTTGGCCTCCGCACCCGTGGCCGAGTTGAGGGCCGCCGGCATGGTGGCCAGATCGAGAAGGAGATCGTACAGCGGATTGATCAGCTCCTCCGGCTCCAGCTTGAAGCTCTCCGGCTGCTGGCCCTGGATGACGTCGAGCAGGGCCTTCAGCGCCTTGGTGCACAGCAGCGGATGGACATGCCGCGCATCGGCAATCAGCTCGAACAGGCTGCGCAATCCGGCGCCCACAATCAGGGGCACGGTGGCATAGACGGGCTCCCGTTCGGTGGGCTCCTCGGTGTCCGAATCGGCATCGCTGTTGGCGCTATCGCGGCGTGGTCGCTTCTCGGCGGGCAGACCAGGTCCTCCAACCACCACGGGCACCGGGGCCGGTACCCTCACATCGCCCAGCACGCCCACCGGTCCATTGGGTGCTCCGTTTCCGGGGCCCAAGGCACCGTGCATGCCCAATGGCGCGTGACAGGGGCAGTCGAGGATGTTGCTGATCATGCAGCTGTGGGCGCACATCATGCAGCAGGAGGAGTTCAGGGGTCTGCTCCACTTCTTCACGCCCGATCCGCACTGACCACCGGCTCCGGCTCCACCCTCCTGGAACAGGGCGTACCGCGTCTCCGCCTCCAGAACCGTAGATCTGATGGCTGAGAAGACCGCAAACTTGGACGCATTCGGATCCAGTTCGATGTGCGCCACCGGAAAGGAGGGCAGGATCATCAGTTGCTCCTTGACCAGTGGTGGGTCCAGTGGGTTCACCAGTCCACCTGCGCCCGCATTCCCCTCGAGAACCGCCGCTGCAGCCGCCGCGGCCATCGCTGCCGCCGATTTGTCCTTCCGACTTTTACGCTTAGTTAACACCTTGCGATCGTGTTGCATTTTTCTGAAAAGGTTAGGCAAAAGTGGGTTAATAAAAGTATACATAGTTTGGAAGAATGATGGAAATTGTTTTTTAAGAACTTTTAGGGGGCTAAATATACTAAGAATTTAATGCAACGAACTAAAATCGAATTCAATAATGACCTTAGAAATACAAAATAATAGGTAACTATCCCAAAACTATGTCATAAATATGGAATAGCTAGAAATAATCTATGGGTATAGATTTCCATTTAAGCTTACTGACAAAATTAAAATATATATATACATATATATACCTTCTAACTGAAGAAAAAGAATTGTACCAAACAAAAACCTACCTTAAAAAAACAATTTCCAATATTCCAAATTTTAGATTTTCGAATAAAGTTTTCAACATAACAAAAAATGTTTTCACTGAATAATAAAAATAGTTTTTAGCGCCTAAAGTATGAAGTTTTTCCAAATTCTTGAAACTTTTTTTAGTGTTTTTTTTTTAGTAGGTATACCATAAAACATAACTTGCTATCTGAATAAAAAATCGCTTTTGGAACACAATGATTACGAAGATCATAAATTATAGACTTAGTAAAATTATGACAATGTTATATGTATTCACCAGCAATAATAACAAATATTCTAGTAAAACAAAAAATGTGTATCTCTTAACTTCTTACACTAACACTGGAAAAACGCTTATTAATATTAAACTTTAATCTTTGGTGTATTTTAATACTGTGGATTAACTTAGTAAAAAGTTTTTTAATTTGCTGTGTAACCAATATTTTATTTATAACATTTTTTGGACATTTTACCAAACATTTTCGAAACATATTGGTAGTCAATTTAAACATAAGTTTTAAGAAGTTAAAACCAAATAATTTGAATTTAAGAATCCCCTAAATCGCATTTCTTACACTGCACTGATCACTTTGGAATTATCAGTAATTTGATTTTTGGCTTGACTTAAAAAACTTTTCAAAAAAACAGATTTAATGTGAAACTACTTGAACTATAGGTCATAAATCAAAAACGCATTTCAACTAACTGAAGAGCCAAACAAGCTTCCTTTTTCGAGGACCTGGCCAAGGAATTTGCATTTGTTTTTGTTGGCAACAAAGCTTTTGGCTCTTATCAACGTGGAAGCTTTTATGTAGGATGCTGGACGCTACATTCGGACGACAGTTGCATGCCACGCACATAAATCGGCCGGCAAGGTGCAAGCTTTAAGATATGTATATACCCGAGTGCATCCGGACCTTCACCTCCTGCCGCTGACAGGTGGTTTAGAATACTGTTGCCCGCTTTTCAAACGCGGCTTTTCAACTTGTGCGTTTCCCGCACAAAGAAAAGTTTTGTGAACTCCCCTAAAACGCAAGTAAGTGGATAAATTAATAATTCACCAACTGCTTGCCATGCACAAATACTTTGCATTTCAGTTGTATTGTCAAAAATGTTCAAGATTAAATTGCTAGAGTTCATTTAAACAAGTGGTAAACTTCTAAACAGCAAACCTGCGACATAAAATGATTCAAATACCGGTAAATTATGTATGCATTGGCATAAGGTATTTTATTTGACCTTTAAGAATGCTGGATGTGGGCTTTGTTGTCCAATTAAATTAATTCTAAAGCAATGCAACGCAAATGCAATAACACTTTTAAAGTTTAGGAAATAGGCAGAAACTCAAAAAATATATTTTAAAAAAATAATACATTTTGTAATCGTTAAGTAAATATTTTATAAAATTCAAAATAAAATACTTGAAAAGGAACTAAACTAATGTGATAATATGATTAATCTTTTTACAAATATAATATGAACGTATTTTCCAAATAGAAGTTTAAGATTGGACGGAAGAATTCAAGATATCATGGTCTACCAGTGTAAATATTCTAAACCAATTTTATGATAAACTATTTAAAACTATTTAAACCATGCAAATGCCAAGCAATTATAAACTTTTAACGCGTATTTTGCAAAATCGATTTTTATAAAGATGTGTCGGTATTTTGCCAACTAAGTGGTGTCCAGGTGCACGATTGAAAGTTTTCTGCCACTCAAGACAACTTGGCCTCAAGGTTTAAGGATGGTTAAAAGTTTTTAAAATTAATTTGTCCATTTGTCCACTTCCGACTCTATAATATATGTATGCCAGCATCGACTAGTCTCTCAATTGTGAACCTATTTATATGAAACCTTCTTAAAAGTCGTATTTCTATTACAGGACGTGCATTAGATTAAGCGGCTAAGGTCAGGCGTCTATATAATATTGCTGATAGCCGTATATACGATCGGATCAAAAATTAAAAAAATAAATGGTACCTGTAATAATTTTAATTGGAATTCGGAATTTTTATTTAAATTTCTTTCTTTAGGATCATTTTACCATCTATAATTAAGTGTTTAGGAATCTTATTGGAAGAAACTAAATAAAAGAATCAAATTTGAATGGTTCCGATATCGATTGTAGATTATATTGAATGCTTTGCTAAGATTTTGAATTTTAGGTGGGATATATTTTAATCATTGAATTCTTGAATAGTGAATATTAATTAAAGTTAGTACTCCTTGTAATAAAATCGATAAAATTTCGATTCGAAATCCAGTAGAAAGTAAGTACTAAAAAAAAACATTGATAAGACTTAAAATGAAACTACAGATAGTAATATAACTTTGACACTTGAAATATGTAAGAAATCGTTTCCACCATAGGATCCCTATAGTTTTAAGTTTGTATAAGGTGTAGTTATATCATCTATTAATTTAGGTTTGAAATTTCTTCGTGCATTGGAAAACAAAGCCTTTCTTTACTAAACAATATATTTTTCAGGCATTTGGTATGGTTTCTCGTTTTGGCGGTACAACGGGGGGTGACATTCTTAACACCGCACCCCCGTGGGCCATCAGTGGGTTAATGCAGGTCGCGGTGCTCTCGACAATCAGCTGACTTTGAGCACCGCTCAGCTGTTCGGCGCAGGACTGTCCACTTCCGCCCGTTTCAACCCCCAAAGAGCGGGGGCTGGGGTGCTACGACATCGGAGAGCGAATGCCCAGGGGTTGAAGACCCAGATTGAAAGCCGAGTGCAGCGATCGATTTTTCCACCCCGGATGGATGGACGGGATGAACGGGGACTTCGGTGGAGGGACATATAGTTATCCAGATGCTGGCGGGGATTACCTGCGTGTGTTGTTCGTGTACAGCTCGTAGAAGTGGTCGCCGTACTTGAGCGGATTGAGCAGACCCACCATTTTGGCCCGATTCCCTGTTAGATCCAGTGCTTCAATCGATATTATATTTTCTATATATTCTAATGCGCTACACTCCGTCGTCTACTGTCAGAACGATTTGCTCTCTCTCTCGTTCTCCTTTTGGCTAATGATTTTTATATTGCACAGCGGTTATTGCGAACAGAATAAAATATATGAATTAACAACTAGGAATTAACTATTTTGACGAGCATCGTCTGGCGTTTTCAGCGCGTTTTATTTTTGCCATTTGCCATTTGCCTTTTGTCACTTGCACGCAAAAAAAACACCGAACGACAACGCAACGGTACAATGGGAACTGAAAGAGAGAACTGAAACTTTCGGCCATCCTCTCTCTCTTTCCGCTCTTTCCTTCCCCTGTTGTTGTTCTTGTCCTCTGCTTCTTGCCGCTTCCTGTGGAGAGGACGCTCAGCTGTCTCCGACCGGAAACAGTGTTGCAAAACGAGAGTGCAGAAGGTCCTGTTTTGGGGTAAGAATCCCAAAATAATTTAAAAGTTACCCTTACTTAACCAACATTTATCTTGAAATTGAAAAAAATTAACACGCCGTTTTCTAAATACTTAAAAGTGACAAGTTTTCATACAGTTTAAGCTTTTTTGCAAATCTTGACTCAAGTGGAAATATGGGATATAGTTTAACAAAGTTTTAAAGGATTCTCACAAAAAGTCTACATAGATCTTAATTTATATAAATGAATAAAATAGTTAAGTCAATTAACGATTATAGATTTGATGACATTATTTTAACACCAAATTTCGAAAGTTTAAGCCAACTTTTACAGTTATTATGTATTGTTATATGAAATTACATCAATTACAACATAAAAGATTGTCAATAATTAATAAATTTATTTAAATAAAGCTTTTAATTGGTTCATTAAACTAAATAACTGCGACTTACATTCAATATAAATTGAGTTGAAAAAAGGCTTTGGGTTTTAAGGGCGTCGTATAAAAAGTACCACAACTTGCTAATAAATCAACTATTAAGGACAGAAATCAGTTTTTTAAAACTTCAAGTCTTAATGGCTTTTCTTTTTAAGTTTCGTTACAAAAGATTATCACTTTTCAAAATATTACTTGTTAAACGGTAACTTACATTTACCAGCTGATTTTTCAGTGCTGCAAAACGACCACACCCGCGTGCCCTGGTAACCCTGACCAGCAGCTGTCACTTGCAACAAAAACAACAGGGGCACGAAGAAGAAGAACTTTGACAGCTGCGCCGCAACCGAAATCGAAGAAAAACATTTTACGTAATTTAACTGTGCGAATATCGGTGATTTGGCAGGCGACTAAACCGTTTTTTCCCCGCCAGCAGGATGGGCAACGCGCTGACACACTACCTGAAACCGGACGTAATGCCCGGAGCGGATGTGGTGACCACCTTTGACCCAATGCTGGGCTTTGAATCGCGCAAGGAGCGTGTGATGGTCGCCACCACGGAGGAGATGGAGTCCGCCAAGCTGCCGCTGGATGCCCGCGACTATTGCGCCCATTTGGCCATTGCCTACCGCGCCTGCCGCACGGACACCTTCCCCTTTGTGTACAAGTGCGCCCACCAGAAGCATGAGTACCTCACCTGCGAGTACGAGGACTACGTCCTGCGCATGAAGGAGTTCGAGCGGGAGCGTCGGCTGCTGGAGCGCCAGAAGCGCCTCAACAAGGCCGCCTAGGCTAAGCTACACACCATACACACCCTCCCACTAGAAACCATCCTCTACACCTGTGTCTGCTGTGGCGGGCAGGAGACGCCCCTGGCCGCGGATCCACTGCCACTGCCCCATGTTGCAAGCTAGTTTCCAGCGGGAATGTCAATAAACAACTCCATGCTAGTAATAATGCGGATCTGCTTACCTTTTTTTTTTATTAGCCATTAAACGATTGAAAAACTGTTCGAAAAACCGTCGATTGTCGAGTGGATCTTGGTGAGGACATCGATTTAAAACTGATTTTGCTTGCAGAAACCAAAGGATAAGGTGTGAACAACAATATGGAGGCAAGAAGGACGGAAATTCTATTGAACTAAGCTAGTGTCCAGCGGAAATGTCAATAAACAAATCCATGCCAGTAATAATAGTCATTAAACGATTAAAAAACTGTTTGAAATAATAACAATAGGAGGAAGTAAATTGTATTGAGATGAGCCAGTCTCCAGAGGAATATTTCAACCTATCGACCGTTTTTATTTAATATCAGCTAAACGGATTGAAAAGCTGTTTTAAAAATCGTCTATTGTCAAATGGTTCTTAGCAAGGACATCGATTTTAAATGGATTTTGTTCGAGAAACCAAAGGATAAAGAAAACTTAGAAGCTTTTAGAACAAATTCAAATTTATATTTGAATTTCCCATTGAACATAAAGATTCAAAGTGATAAAAAAAATATATTTGGGGAGTCTGATAGTAAAATCATCTAGAGACGATGTTGGTAAAAATAAATAGTCAATCTCTAGAATTTACATTCTTATCTAAACACTACTCAATACATAAGGTTTTTATCAAAAAGTTTTATTGTCGATATAATAACGTTTACGCTCATTTACGTTACTCTCCTCCCTACATTAAATCTTTTAAAGAGATAAATATACACAAAAAACATGTAAAATGCCTTTAACAAATAACCATTGAACAAATGATCATTTGTAGTTCTTTAATGCAATTTGTGTGTTCACCTTAAACAGACAATTAGAATACAATAGGAAAATGTTCTTTATCTAACCACTTAGCAATCTTTATGAATATGTTACAACATGAGATAGCAGTGTAAACTAGATTCGTATTCTGAGTGGTACATTTATGGTATTAATTTTTATGAAAGTTTAAATTTAATTTTAAACTCGATCTTTTAAAGAAATTTTAACTAAAGGGGTTATTACAAATTCCTTTGAGGAAAAAGAGGACAACAAAAAAGGAGCAGAAATAAAGTTGAAAACCTTTTAAAAATGCATCGGGTCTTTTTTCAAGAGCTGTTTCTCCATTTCAAAACGTTAATAAATGAACCCCCAGATATAGTAAAACGCATATTTTACACTGGTTCTTGCAACTTTAAATTTAATATCAAACTCATTTTTTGGCTTAATCGTAAAATTGCTTTCGTTTAACAATGCCTACACACGCGCGCACACACAACACACCCCGTTTATCACAAGCACACACCCGCATATATATTAAATACACGGCTACTTAATACATGATATTATATATATATAGAAACTAACGATCTACAGATGATGGCAAGTTGTGTTTTAAATTACATTCTAACTATGGGATCCAGCTGCCGGAAGGCAATTGTATGAGGGAAATCTACTCGATCAATAAATGCATACTGTTGACTCCGGCATGTACATCTTTGGTAGAGGCTTTTCCTGGCCACCGTTTGACCAGCACCCATCAAATGCCCAGTTTCCGCCACAGATCGTGCATCCGTCCGCCGGTGGCGAAGATGCTGCGCAGCAAGAACACCTGGATGAGCCCGACACCGATCATGGCGCTTATCTGCAGCATGGACCATTGGTTGACCTTCTGGAAATTGGACTCGGCAAGATTGCGATCGCGTGCCTCGTGGGAACGCAGCACATCCTGTAACTGGCGGGCCTTGTTCAGCTGGAGACGGATGCGTCCGATGAAGTCCATGATGTCCTGCACCTTCATGTCGTAGTACTCGTCACGTGAGAGCCCCACGAGCTCGTCCACCTCGTTCCACTGGGTGTCGCCCTGGAGCTCCTCGCCCTCCCGCTCCACAATCAGCTCGAAGAACACCGTCTTCCGGTTGAACATGCTGAAACTGTTGTCGAAACAGAAGCGATAGTCACCCTCCTTGGCCACCTCGTGGCGGTGGACGTTCTCCGGCTTCTTGAAATCACTGACTATCACCAGACCGATGGGATCCAGCAGGGTGAAGCTGATGTCCAGGTCGCCGTGCCCGCCATCGATCACCTGATAGTCGAAGTCAATGGTCTCTCCCTGGCGGACCGTGTGATACAAGCACTCCGTCTTTCCGGCGTCCACATAGACGGTCATCTCCTTGTCGTAGGCCTGCGAGTCCTGGATTCCCAGGATGATCAGTCCGGCCATGAGAACGCGCAGTCCCGGCAATCCACGCCGGATCTGGGCAGTTGACGCAAAAGTTAATGAGTAATGGGGGCTAAATATAGCCGGCGTTTATCTTACCGCTTGCATTGTGAGCTGTTTTGCTTAAAATTAAAAAGAACTAAAGAACTCGGTGTGAACGTTGGCCGGTCAGAATTCTGAATCTAACTGACTGGTCACACTTTTCAGGCGGGCTGTCGGCTTTTCTGTGCTGCCATTTCAGCTAGCTTGTAGCCAAATTCGGATATTTTCAATGGTCTTTTTTTTACTTTAAGAAATTGTCAATTATATTGTGCTCGGAAAATAAGATATGTAATCTAGTCAGATTTGGATATTTCAAAGCCATAGTTATGCCATAAGCCTGCAAATGTAGCTTGCTTTAACTAGTTTGTCTATAGCCAATTTTTAAATTACAATTTAAGACTCCTATGCACAGAAAAGATATGCAAGAAAGAACGCTATAGTCCAGTTTTTCAGATTTTGTTTCACTTACGTTTCATGAAAAGCTACTTTTAGCTATAAAATTGTACCCATTTCGAAATTCATACTTGGTCACACTGGTAGATTAAAAGTAACGGATTACTGTAATGGGCGGCATATTTAAATGGAAATCTCAAAATCGCCCAAAAAACTATCTTTAATCGGAGATTTCTTTACGTAAAGCAAGTTTTTAAATCATTTAAATCAGACATTTACTCTATAGTTCCCTTAATTTTAATTAAATAAGTGCACACCAATTGAAATAACTAAATGTAAGTATATTTAGGATTTCCGAAATCTCTTCAGTTTTAATAAAAGCGTATTACTATTTGTAGTTCTCGATAATTCCAATGAATGAGCTTTCAAGAAAACTAGAAAGATCAAAGCTAGTAAAAACGGTTGAGTTAACAAATAGATATATAAACCAGTTAAAATAACCAGTTGATTATAATGAGAAAATTCAGAGAAGAAAATACTGAAACATATTGAAATACAACCATTAACAGTCAAACAATTCTAAATTTTAAACAATTTTAAAATCAAACCATTTAAAATAAAATTCGAAAACCCTAATTGGTATTTTATTGGATAGAACACTATTTCCCGACCTACTCAGGGTCACACTGTCAAGGCCAAGAATAAGCTCGAAAGAAAACTTGAAAAAATAAAAAACGTCAACAAAAAAAAAGAAGGAAATGCCAGAAGAAAAAAAGAGCTAGACGGCATTGCATGCTGTTTTTCTCTGGTGATCATTTGAAAAAAGCCGTGCCACAAAGAGGTTATCTAAAAACAAAATGACTATACGAACGCGAAGGAGTATTTCCTTTGCCGGCTGTGGATTCCTGGGTATTTACTACGTGGGCGTAGCCTACTGCCTGCGCCAACACGCCCCCCAACTTTTGCTGGAGAAGATTGCCGGCTCATCCGCCGGAGCATTGGCCGCCTGTTGCCTGGTCTGCGATCTGCCGCTGGAATGCATGGCCGGTGACTTTTTGCGGATTGTCCACCAGATCCGGCGCCACGCGCTGGGCGCCTTCAGTCCGTGGTTCAATCTGCCGGAGTGCCTCCTCGAGGGGATGCACCGCAGCCTGCCGGCGGACGCCCATCGACGGGCCAGCGGACGACTCCACGTTTCCGTCACCCGCGTCAGCGATCGCCGCAACGTGATCATCTCGGAGTTCAGCTCCCGCCAGGAACTCCTCCAGGCCCTCATGTGCTCCTGCTTTATTCCCGGACTGTCCGGACTGGTGCCTCCGCAGGTGGGTGTGTCCTCACCTTTTTAAAAAGATTTACAGATTTTCAATTTAAAACCTAGCCAGGAAATAACTCAAATCGTTTTCCAACTTATAGTTTGTATATTCTCATAACCCGGTAAAGGGCATTAAAAACTGTACTTCTAAGTCCACAACCTTTTTAATTTAAATCAGAATTTGAAGTGAAATACCTCTTAAATCTTGTGGCTTAATCCCCGTAAAACTTGCATTCAAATATTTTTAAATAATTTTAGATTGTCAGTTTTCATGAGGGTAATCCCTTTCCACGTTTTTGAATAATGGCTTTTCTGAAGAGTGACACAAGAAGTGCACTTTTAAGTTCATAACTTTTCTAATTTAAATCCGATTTTGAAGTGGAATACCTCTTAAATCTTGTGGAGTAATCCCCGTAAAACTTGCATTCAAATATTTTTAAATAATTTTAGATTTTTTGTCAGTTTTCATGAGGGTAATCCCTTTCCACGTTTTTGAATAATGGCTTTCCCGAAGAGTGACACAAAACCTGTACTTCTAAGTATATAATTTTTCCAATTCGAATCCGATTTTGAAGTGGAATACCTCTTAAATCTTGTGGCTTAAATCCCGTAAAACTTGCATTCAAATCTTTTTGAATAAGTTTAGATTTAGATATCAGTTTTCATGAGGGTAACCCCTTTCCACGTTTTTGAATAATGGCTTTGCTGAAAAGTGGCACAGAACCTGCACTTATGTATAAGTCCATAACTATTCTAATTTTAATCCGGTTTTGAAGTGGAATACCTCTTAAATCTTGTGGTTTAATCCCCGTTAAATTTGCATTAAAATCTTGTTTTATAATTTTTTTTAGAGTTTTTGTCAGTGTTCATGAGGCCATTATTCCAAGTTTTTGAATAATGGCCTTGCTGAAGAATGGCACAAAACCTGCACTTCTAAGTGCATAACTATTCTAATTTAGATCCGGTTTTGAAGTGGAATACCTCTTAAATCTTGTGGTTTAATCCCCGTTATACTTGCATTATAATCTTGTTTTATAATTTTTTTAGATTTTCTGTCAGTGTTCATGAGGTAGCCCTTTTCCAAGTTTTTGAATAATGGCTTTGCTGAAAAGTGGCATAGAACCTGCACTTCTAAGTCCACAACTTTTCTGATTTAAGTCCGATTTTGAAGTGTAATACCTGTAAAGTCTTTTGGCTTAATTCCCTTAAAAATTGCATTCAAATCTTGTTTTACAAATTGTTTTCGATTTCTTGTAATTTTTTTTTTCAAATTTTCGAAAAATGTTTTCGCATAAAATATGGAAACAACATTGAAAAATATAATTTTTTTTGGAATTATACCTCGTTGAGATGTAGACATCCTAGAGTCACTTCGAATTGCGACTTTTAGTGTCGATCCATCTTGCACTGGCAGCTTCGGCTTACACACAATCGCTTATTCTAACCTATTCTAAAAATTCTCTTTATTTAAAATTATTATTTTGCTAGAATTACAACAAACAGCAGTTTTTTTATTTTTGGAGTTCACTGCTGCATCATTTCACATTTTTCTATGAATACCACATTCAAAATGTGAAAGTATGTTTGAAAACAATGTACAATCCTTGATGCCCTGAATCCGGTCAAAGTAAGTTGGTATCGCTGTAAGCCTCTTGCAACTGCTCGTACGATGAAAGGTCCTTGATCCTACATCCTGGTGAGCAATCCAAGCCATATTGTATATCAATTGATCATCTGGAACCTCTCAAGCAACACACACTCACACTTTCGGACATCCGAGTAAACTGATTTATGGACTGCCAACAACCTCTAGGTCGTAATTATTTGGCTTGAACTGGTTGGGAATTATAATTTCCCTGGGAGAGAAAAAATTAAGAGCGACGATGACGGGGCTAATCTTGCATTTTGTTAACATTACATTAAGATTATTTGGATTGTTGATTGGATAGTTGATTGTTGTATGTAGCGTGTTTGCACGCATGTTACATGCAACATGCAACATGTAACACGCAACATGCAACATGCAACCTGCAACTTGCAACATGCAACATGCAACATGCAACACGCAACACGCAACATGCAACATGCTTTTTGCGGGATGAATGTTGCATGCTGAATGTTGCATGTTGCATGTAACATGCGTGCAACATTAAATTTATGTCACTTTGAAATAGGATTAAATTTGGTAAAGTTATGGACTCTGGAAGTCCAATTGTGAGTCACATTTTTACAAGTCATCGGAAACTTGAAAAAAAATGACATGAAAATGGGTCAAAAATTTGATCAACGTTCAAATGAATATTTTCAATGCAGTTTTTTAGAGAATCGAACCACGAGTCTTTAGAGGTATGCCACTTTGAAATCGGATTAAATTTGGTAATGTTATGGACTCTGGACGCCCAATTGTAGGTCACCTTTTTACAAGTCATCGGAAACTTGAAAAAAAATGACATGAAAATGGGTCAAAAATTTGATCAACGTTAAAATGAAAATTTTGAATGCAGTTTTTTAGAGAATCGAACCACGAGTCTTTAGAGGTATGCCACTTTGAAATCGGATTAAATTTGGTAATGTTATGGACTCTGGACGCCCAATTGTAGGTCACCTTTTTACAAGTCATCGGAAACTTGAAAAAAATGACATGAAAATGGGTCAAAAATTTGATCAACGTTAAAATGAAAATTTTGAATGCAGTTTTTTAGAGAATCGAACCACGAGTCTTTAGAGGTATGCCACTTTGAAATCGGATTAAATTTGGTAATGTTATGGACTCTGGACGCCCAATTGTAGGTCACCTTTTTACAAGTCATCGGAAACTTGAAAAAAATGACATGAAAATGGGTCAAAAATTTGATCAACGTTAAAATGAAAATTTTGAATGCAGTTTTTTAGAGAATCGAACCACTAGTCTTTAGAGGTATGCCACTTTGAAATCGGATTAAATTTGGTAATGTTATGGACTCTGGACGCCCAATTGTAGGTCACCTTTTTACAAGTCATCGGAAACTTGAAAAAAATGACATGAAAATGGGTCAAAAATTTGATCAACGTTCAAATGAATATTTTCAATGCAGTTTTTTAGAGAATCGAACCACGAGTCTTTAGAGGTATGCCACTTTGAAATCGGATTAAATTTGGTAATGTTATGGACTCTAGACGCCCAATTGTAGGTCACCTTTTCACAAGTCATCGGAAACTTGAAAAAAAATGACATGAAAATGGGTCAAAAATTTGATCAACGTTAAAATGAAAATTTTGAATGCAGTTTTTTAGAGAATCGAACCACGAGTCTTTAGAGGTATGCCACTTTGAAATCGGATTAAATTTGGTAATGTTATGGACTCTGGACGCCCAATTGTAGGTCACCTTTTTACAAGTCATCGGAAACTTGAAAAAAAATGACATGAAAATGGGTCAAAAATTTGATCAACGTTAAAATGAAAATTTTTAATGCAGTCTTTTAGAGAATCGAACCACGAGTCTTTAGAGGTATGCCACTTTGAAATCGGATTAAATTTGGTAAAGTTATGGACTCTGGAAGTCCAATTGTACGTCACCTTTTTACAAGTCATCGGAAACTTGAAAAAAATGACATGAAAATGGGTCAAAAATTTGATCAACGTTAAAATGAAAATTTTGAATGCAGTTTTTTAGAGAATCGAACCACGAGTCTTTAGAGGTATGCCACTTTGAAATCGGATAAAATTTGGTAATGTTATGGACTCTGGACGCCCAATTGTAGGTCACCTTTTTACAAGTCATCGGAAACTTGAAAAAAAATGACATGAAAATGGGTCAAAAATTTGATCAACGTTAAAATGAATATTTTCAATGCAGTTTTTTAGAGAATCGAACCACGAGTCTTTAGAGGTATGCCACTTTGAAATCGGATTAAATTTGGTAATGTTATGGACTCTGGACGCCCAATTGTAGGTCACCTTTTTACAAGTCATCGGAAACTTGAAAAAAATGACATGAAAATGGGTCAAAAATTTGATCAACGTTAAAATGAAAATTTTGAATGCAGTTTTTTAGAGAATCGAACCACTAGTCTTTAGAGGTATGCCACTTTGAAATCGGATTAAATTTGGTAATGTTATGGACTCTGGACGCCCAATTGTAGGTCACCTTTTTACAAGTCATCGGAAACTTGAAAAAAATGACATGAAAATGGGTCAAAAATTTGATCAACGTTCAAATGAATATTTTCAATGCAGTTTTTTAGAGAATCGAACCACGAGTCTTTAGAGGTATGCCACTTTGAAATCGGATTAAATTTGGTAATGTTATGGACTCTAGACGCCAAATTGTAGGTCACCTTTTCACAAGTCATCGGAAACTTGAAAAAAAATGACATGAAAATGGGTCAAAAATTTGATCAACGTTAAAATGAAAATTTTGAATGCAGTTTTTTAGAGAATCGAACCACGAGTCTTTAGAGGTATGCCACTTTGAAATCGGATTAAATTTGGTAATGTTATGGACTCTGGACGCCCAATTGTAGGTCACCTTTTTACAAGTCATCGGAAACTTGAAAAAAAATGACATGAAAATGGGTCAAAAATTTGATCAACGTTAAAATGAAAATTTTTAATGCAGTCTTTTAGAGAATCGAACCACGAGTCTTTAGAGGTATGCCACTTTGAAATCGGATTAAATTTGGTAAAGTTATGGACTCTGGAAGTCCAATTGTACGTCACCTTTTTACAAGTCATCGGAAACTTGAAAAAAATGACATGAAAATGGGTCAAAAATTTGATCAACGTTAAAATGAAAATTTTGAATGCAGTTTTTTAGAGAATCGAACCACGAGTCTTTAGAGGTATGCCACTTTGAAATCGGATAAAATTTGGTAATGTTATGGACTCTGGACGCCCAATTGTAGGTCACCTTTTTACAAGTCATCGGAAACTTGAAAAAAAATGACATGAAAATGGGTCAAAAATTTGATCAACGTTAAAATGAATATTTTCAATGCAGTTTTTTAGAGAATCGAACCACGAGTCTTTAGAGGTATGCCACTTTGAAATCGGATTAAATTTGGTAATGTTATGGACTCTGGACGCCCAATTGTAGGTCACCTTTTTACAAGTCATCGGAAACTTGAAAAAAAATGACATGAAAATGGGTCAAAAATTTGATCAACGTTAAAATGAAAATTTTGAATGCAGTTTTTTAGAGAATCGAACCACGAGTCTTTAGAGGTATGCCACTTTGAAATCGGATTAAATTTGGTAATGTTATGGACTCTGGACGCCCAATTGTAGGTCACCTTTTTACAAGTCATCGGAAACTTGAAAAAAAATGACATGAAAATGGGTCAAAAATTTGATCAACGTTAAAATGAAAATTTTGAATGCAGTTTTTTAGAGAATCGAACCACGAGTCTTTAGAGGTATGCCACTTTGAAATCGGATTAAATTTGGTAATGTTATGGACTCTGGACGCCCAATTGTAGGTCACCTTTTTACAAGTCATCGGAAACTTGAAAAAAATGACATGAAAATGGGTCAAAAATTTGATCAACGTTAAAATGAAAATTTTGAATGCAGTTTTTTAGAGAATCGAACCACTAGTCTTTAGAGGTATGCCACTTTGAAATCGGATAAAATTTGGTAATGTTATGGACTCTGGACGCCCAATTGTAGGTCACCTTTTTACAAGTCATCGGAAACTTGAAAAAAATGACATGAAAATGGGTCAAAAATTTGATCAACGTTAAAATGAAAATTTTGAATGCAGTTTTTTAGAGAATCGAACCACGAGTCTTTAGAGGTATGCCACTTTGAAATCGGATTAAATTTGGTAATGTTATGGACTCTGGACGCCCAATTGTAGGTCACCTTTTTACAAGTCATCGGAAACTTGAAAAAAATGACATGAAAATGGGTCAAAAATTTGATCAACGTTAAAATGAAAATTTTGAATGCAGTTTTTTAGAGAATCGAACCACGAGTCTTTAGAGGTATGCCACTTTGAAATCGGATAAAATTTGGTAATGTTATGGACTCTGGACGCCCAATTGTAGGTCACCTTTTTACAAGTCATCGGAAACTTGAAAAAAATGACATGAAAATGGGTCAAAAATTTGATCAACGTTAAAATGAAAATTTTGAATGCAGTTTTTAGAGAATCGAACCACGAGTCTTTAGAGGTATGCCACTTTGAAATCGGATTAAATTTGGTAATGTTATGGACTCTGGACGCCCAATTGTAGGTCACCTTTTTACAAGTCATCGGAAACTTGAAAAAAAATGACATGAAAATGGGTCAAAAATTTGATCAACGTTAAAATGAAAATTTTGAATGCAGTTTTTTAGAGAATCGAACCACGAGTCTTTAGAGGTATGCCACTTTGAAATCGGATTAAATTTGGTAATGTTATGGACTCTGGACGCCCAATTGTAGGTCACCTTTTTACAAGTCATCGGAAACTTGAAAAAAATGACATGAAAATGGGTCAAAAATTTGATCAACGTTAAAATGAAAATTTTGAATGCAGTTTTTTAGAGAATCGAACCACTAGTCTTTAGAGGTATGCCACTTTGAAATCGGATAAAATTTGGTAATGTTATGGACTCTGGACGCCCAATTGTAGGTCACCTTTTTACAAGTCATCGGAAACTTGAAAAAAATGACATGAAAATGGGTCAAAAATTTGATCAACGTTAAAATGAAAATTTTGAATGCAGTTTTTTAGAGAATCGAACCACGAGTCTTTAGAGGTATGCCACTTTGAAATCGGATTAAATTTGGTAATGTTATGGACTCTGGACGCCCAATTGTAGGTCACCTTTTTACAAGTCATCGGAAACTTGAAAAAAATGACATGAAAATGGGTCAAAAATTTGATCAACGTTAAAATGAAAATTTTGAATGCAGTTTTTTAGAGAATCGAACCACGAGTCTTTAGAGGTATGCCACTTTGAAATCGGATAAAATTTGGTAATGTTATGGACTCTGGACGCCCAATTGTAGGTCACCTTTTTACAAGTCATCGGAAACTTGAAAAAAATGACATGAAAATGGGTCAAAAATTTGATCAACGTTAAAATGAAAATTTTGAATGCAGTTTTTTAGAGAATCGAACCACGAGTCTTTAGAGGTATGCCACTTTGAAATCGGATAAAATTTGGTAATGTTATGGACTCTGGACGCCCAATTGTAGGTCACCTTTTTACAAGTCATCGGAAACTTGAAAAAAATGACATGAAAATGGGTCAAAAATTTGATCAACGTTAAAATGAATATTTTCAATGCAGTTTTTTAGAGAATCGAACCACGAGTCTTTAGAGGTATGCCACTTTGAAATCGGATTAAATTTGGTAATGTTATGGACTCTGGACGCCCAATTGTAGGTCACCTTTTTACAAGTCATCGGAAACTTGAAAAAAATGACATGAAAATGGGTCAAAAATTTGATCAACGTTAAAATGAAAATTTTGAATGCAGTTTTTTAGAGAATCGAACCACTAGTCTTTAGAGGTATGCCACTTTGAAATCGGATTAAATTTGGTAATGTTATGGACTCTGGACGCCCAATTGTAGGTCACCTTTTTACAAGTCATCGGAAACTTGAAAAAAATGACATGAAAATGGGTCAAAAATTTGATCAACGTTAAAATGAAAATTTTGAATGCAGTTTTTTAGAGAATCGAACCACGAGTCTTTAGAGGTATGCCACTTTGAAATCGGATTAAATTTGGTAAAGTTATAGATGTTTTCATAATTTGTTCGACACCTCATATAAATATATAAATAATATAAAAAACTTAACTTGTAAATTTAAGACTTTATTATCCCGATTTTCCTTAATTTGATCAATGTCGCTAACCAGAATATGTAAATATATTATCAGATCAGAGGAGTTCGCTATATGGATGGCGCCTTTTCCGACAACCTCCCTTTGCTGGACGAGCACACTGTGACCGTGAGTGCCTTTTGCGGGGAGAGTGATATATGCCCGCGGGATCAGAACTCCCATCGGCTGCAGCTGAACATCCATTGGTCGAACACTTCCATCCGGTTATCAAGAAGGAATTTGCGACGCCTGATGCAGATCGTGGTGCCGGGAAGACCGGACTTCATAGCCAATGTTAGCCAGCAGGGCTACGATGATGCGATGCGTTTCCTGCGCAGAAATACCCTGGTCAAAAATGGAATTAAGGTTCAAGAAAGGGGCATGATAAGTTGGATCCATCAGCAGGAGAAGAAGGAAAAAGAGCGAGGGGAGATGACAAAGTATCTAGAAAAGGAGCAGCGAGATTCAAAAACTATAAAGAAAAGGGATCAAAAGCCACGAGATCAGCAGAATAATAAACAGCAAGATCAGGTTAACCAAGTGGAGAAACATCGAAGAAATCGTAAGTCGAAGCTTCTGCAAAAACCTAAGAAAAACCAGAAGAACAAGACAAAGTATGAGAAATGCCAGAAAAAGGAGGCCAGGAATCAGGAGCATGGCCATGGGCTCAAAGAAAAGAAGAATCGCAGCAAACTGGATGGGAATCAAACTGGAACCCAGGAGAAAAAGCGCAATTCGTCGCTTCAGGAGAAGCCCATTCACCAGGATCACAGTGCCAGCTCCCTTATGAGATCCACCTGGTCCCTGCTGCGCAGCGTGATAATCGCTCCGCCGCTGGCCAGGCACATGGTCGAAATGATCACTCTTCGCCTCAGCCAGAGTCTCACGCTCTGCGAGCAGCCGCACTTTGATCTCGCCCTGATGCACACACCCTCCTCCTGCTCATCCTCCTCGTCGAGCAGCTGCTGCCCCTCATCGACGCCACTGGGTGATAGCGATAACGACAAAGTCAAGGCCAACCGAACGTGCGAGGCCAACCAAGTGGGAGCGGAAGATCGGGTGGCTGATCAAGGGGAGCGCACCGGCGTTCATTAGGCGCCATTAGCTTTATCAGCGATCGTCAATCGATCAGTTCCCAATTTGTTTTTATGTCTGTTCTCGTTAATCTTTTATTTCATGGTCCAAGGCTTGTTTTTTTTTTCTTGTTTTAAATATCATGGTTTTAAGTGTTTTTACATTGTGTTTATACTAACTGCTGTAACATAAATAAAGATATGCAAATATTGTGTTTATACTAACTGCTGTAACATAAATAAAGATATGCAAATAATTATTTAAATTGAATTTATTTTTATATTAATGTACTACACATGAAACAAAATATCTATGTATCAAATTTGTAAAGCTAAATTTGAAAGTTAAAAAATACGAGTTATAATATTACTGGATCTAGGAACAGCTCAAGATTTAATATAAAAACGATCAAAAAAGGATTCGGAAAATCAAAATAGCTTCATTGTTTTTTAAACATATTCATACGCATAAAAATCATATGCAATACTTTTTTTTCTTGTAATAGCTACAATAGTAAATAAACTTCGGAATAACCTAGTTTGCTTCCTTTCTTGTTATTACAAACATTGACTACGAATTTCCTAAGAATATATAATGTCAATATTTTAGTTGAGGTTTCTTCTTAGGAAATGTCATGTAATAGAATCCAATACCTGGAATATTATAAATATAATAAACTTATTATTTTACAACACTAACTTAAAATAGTTTTATAATTATTTACATATTTATTAAAGTGTCTGCTTATAATTTACCCGTTATTATCCATTACTTAAGATTTTTTATTATACCGGTTGGGAATTTTAAGTTCCCTGAAGTAATAAAATGCTATTTTTATATGGGTATTTAATATTTGCCCTGTGATTACTTAAAAAGCGGTAAATTCACAAAACCAGGATTATGTCAAGGCATTTATTAGCTGCCCGCTGTGTTGCACTCGATTCTTCTATCCGAATAAACTGATATAACCTCCAGATCCGATTCTCTGACGCAGGTTCCACTCGGCAAAGTGCAACGCAAGAGAGAAAGATGCACAACGAGATCAGAGAAGTGGCCATAATTCGCACACATAATGCCCATATACCGTGCAATATACTCAATAATCAAAAGCGAGAGAATGAATTATAATAAGAATCACGCCACTTTCTGCACTTTGCACTTCGGCCATCCTGCTCGCACTTGTGCCGATTGAAGGATGCCACGCCTCTTCCGCCAGGGGCGGGGGCTCATCCTGAGGCTTTATCACCCTCTCTCTTTCTCTCGCTCTCTCTACCACTCTCACTTTGTAGACTCTCTTTTTTCTGTGTTCTATAAAGTCATTCAATTTTTTTTTATAATACTTTTGATTACGATTATAGTTGGGTACGAACGCCTTTATGAACGAACCTTTCTCGGCGATAAGAATTGTCGTTGCCAACCGAAGACCCAGACCTCGTCATCGTCGCTTCGGGAAGAATCTGGAGGGGATCGGGAGGCGGTGTCCAAAGTCCGGGTCCATTAACATCTTTACACTCAGGCCCCCGGGAGGGTACACCTTGCGGTTGGCATTTCCATTACATTAAGCTACCCAATAACGATCATTAACTCCATGATCATTGCATGGTCCGGAAAAAACGATCAACGCACCTACACAGAGGATAAAAAGGGAAGAATCGGATTTTCTTTCTTTAGGAGTAGATTTTCCTATCTAATATTCACTTAAAAAGTCGGACAAGTTGTATTACAGATATTATAAATTAAAGTTATTGTACTTAGTAATTAATAAAGCACTTCGAGTATACAAATTTCTTAAGAAAGGATGCATGAATATTTACTCATTGTATCGTATTTTTAGTTATTACATATTTGTGTGATAGGAATTCATATTAGAAGAGTTCTATAATATTTGTAATTAAATAGTTCAAGATATGAAAATTGTTCTTCTATGACCCTTGAATATGTTTTTTTTTTAAGCAACCGAATCATTTGTATAGGAATTTTGTATTTTAAGTGATTACATCTTTTTTTCTTGTGCATAATATATACTTACTGATTGCGGTTTTGGGAACCCGTCTAACAAGTCATGGGTTCCATGGGTTCCACAAGAAATACCAAGACCCTTTTCTGGCAAACCAAACTCATGAATATTTTGGCCCCAAATGCATTAAGCAAAACTCAAAATAATGCCAAGTATGCTGGTATAAGATTGATTCCCCAGGCGGACAAACTGGAACTTGGTCGAGACGAGGGACAGACTATGGCTATGGCATGTTCCTCTTGTCGGGAGCGCAAATTAAAGCGATCGGCCAGACGTTGGGCATACAAATGAGTTGGGGATTCGGAGGAGACGGCGGGGAGGAAGTGGAGTGGATGGCCCTCCACTCCAAATGAAAAGGAAAACCAGAGAGGCCGACGTCGACGTTTTTGCCCAATCTGAAGACGGATAATTGCACGGCCATTAACGCCGTCATTATCGACAGGGACCGAGTCACAAGTCCACTGGGAAAAGGCAATACAGTCCGGTTCACGAAAGTGGGATCTTAGCCTTTAAAATATGCTAAGTTGGTTCCCAAAAGTATATCTTATTCGCATTATAAGGTTTTAACTATTGCAAAAAAATTACCTTATATCTTAATGTGAATTTTTCTATTGAAATTGTTAAAGATTTAATGCAAAATTGATTATATATTGATTATATTATATAACCAGCTAAGTTAACAACAAACTTTTGTGAATTTAATTTAAAGGCATATTTAGTTTCTGTTGTAACACATTTGTTATATTAAAAGTTCATTTAATTTTAAGCTTTAAACGATGAGTCTATAACGATACTATTAAAACACGCTAAAAGCTTTGCAAAATTAATAAAAGATTTCTATTATTAACAAAGCATACTACCCCAGTTAATAGTTAGTACGATTGAAATCAAAGAAAGTGTATTTTTAGCTTGAAATCCAGCAAATTCCGAGCAATTTTGATAGCTGCGAAACGCACTTTAATATCACATGTTCGTAAACACATACACTCACTCGCATATCTCTGCGTACACCCCAAAAAAATTTCAAAATCTAACTTTGAACATTAACTGTTCGGCCATTTATGCATGTATTTTATTCATTCTTTTTTTAAACAAAACTATGGTTTATTGTCTTCATTGACGTAGAAATATTAGAAATATTCAACAGGGGGTTATATTTTATTTTTAATTTTAAACCTAACACTACGAAAAAGTGTACGCGCAAAAGTCTGCGTACAGCAGTTTTCAACTTCGAGAAATGCAGGATTGTGCGATTTCCGTTAATTTTGTTGTCGCCGATCTACTTTAGAATGTCTAAAAATAGACATTACGCAGTTAAAATGAAACTCTTTCATTATAATAACGAGCATATTGCAACATGGAACAAAAAGGCAAGGAAATTTCTGTTGAGGAGTGGAAAATTATATTAAAAGGTTTTTTGGATGGAAAATCTTATAGAGAAATTGGTGCTTTAGTTGCTAGAACCCACTCATCCATCCAAAGAGTGATAAATAACTACAACTCGGCTGGAAGTATCTTGCCAAAGGCTCGTTCTGGCCGTCCGCCTTTGCTTATAAACCGCGAGCAGAGGAATATTATCAAATCTATTCAGCTCAACCCAAGGACGACAGCTCACCAGGCAAAGCTGAAGGTCGAGGATAGATTTTCCAAAAGAGTTTCCGAAGATACTGTACGCCGGACCATAAAAAAGGCTGACTACCATAGCAGAGTCGCCCGCAAAAAACCTCTCATATCGGAAGTCAATAGACAAAAGCGCCTAACCTTTACTAATGAGTATATTTCCAAACACCAAGATTTCTGGAATAAGATTATATTTCCCGACGAAACTAAATTCTGCATATTTGGAATCATGGGAAAGGTTTTGGTATGGAGGAAAAGCGGAGAAGCCTCAAATTAAGAAAATTTGGTTGGCACAGTAAAGCAAGGAGGAAGCGGAATAATGGTGTGGGGGTGTATGGCAGCAAGTGGCGTTGGAAAATTGGCATTTATCGAGTTAATAATGGATCAGAAAATCTATATTGACATATTAAAAAACAATTTAAAAGAAAGTGCTGAAAAATTAGGGCTCGAAAGTGAATGTTGGTTCCAACAAGACAACGACCCGAAGCATACGGCGCAGAATACCAAGCTTTGGCTGCTGTATAACGTCATAAATCAGCTGCGAACACCTCCCCAAAGTCCTGATCTAAGCCCAAATGAGCATTTTTGGGATCTTCTTGAGAAGAAAATCCAAAGACACACGATAACATCTAAAAAAATGCTCAAGAATGTGATTTTCGAGGAGTAGGGGAAAATTACTGCAAATGAGACAAAAAAAAAGTGGATTCCATCCCGAGACGCCTTACGGAAGTTTTGCAGAGAAAAGGATACCCTACCAGTTACTAAAAATAATATTATTTGTGTTTTAAACAGGTGTACGCAGACTTTTGCGGGTACATTTTTTGGTAGTGTTAAGTTTAAAATTAAAAATAAAATATAAAACACTGTTGAATAATTTAAAAAAAAATACGTCAATGAAGACAATAAATTATAATTATGTTTAAAAAAAAGAATGTGTTGAATATATGCATAAATGGCCGAACAGCTAGGGTTTAAAGTTAGATTTTGAAATTTTTTTGGGGTGTACGCAGAGATATGCGAGTGAGTGTATAGAGGTCTTATCGCGCCAGCGAGTGCTCTATAAATTCATTCGCTGCAGTGCTCCGGCAATTACGATGACTGAACTCTCCACTGAACTCTATATAAATCAGCGGACCGGGGAGTGCTGTCTCGATAAGGAGCCTAATCAGATGGGGGGTATAGAACCTACATATAACGTTTTTCTGCTTATCATTCGCGTTCTTCAAGTGGCGAAAAATAATTGAAAAAAAATTCGTTGGCAATTTTCTTGTTCTTCGTTCCAGTTTTGCGTTGGTTCTTTTTATTAATATTTAATATTATCAATCTAGTTGTTTAAAGCAAACATTATGGCTAGGTTCTCCATACAAGTGTGTGTGAGGGTGTGTATTGTTGTGTTGCGTATATATATATATATATATGATAGGCATAATTCATTTTCATTAGCAATTAGACATCATCTGGTTGGACTCCCAGCGAGCGTACAATGGAAATTAAATAGAGATAGAAATAGCATAAGGCATTAGATTACGTATACGTATAGCTTAACCACACTATGCCAACGTGTGCGTACGTTTTTTTTTATATATATTATATATCAGTGTATATATTAGGCATATATAGGCGTATATATTATGTTTTTATTCAATGCATGCGTGGCACTTTAGCACAGCTAAAATTGATTTAAAAAAAACGCGCTCTTCTTACTCCCGATCTCTGGGCCTACTATAACTTAAAACTATGTTGGTGAGGGCTATACTTCAAATAAATATTTACAAAGCAGGGTGCGCAGGGGAGGGCGGGTTTCGGGGGTAGGCGTGTTCGAAAAACCTTCTCCACTTTTGATGATCCTCTATGGGAAGTACTAATTATATAGGCGAGTACTCAATGAAAAACAAAAGTACGCAAAAAAAAAAACGAAATTTTAAAATATAAAATGGGCGGCGTGGGTGGTTGGGTGTTAGGAGCATTGTGTGTGGTGTGCGTGTGTGTGAAAGAGGATAATATCTAGCTATAGATATAATTATTTATGGGCTTCTGATTTTTCCACTACTGAGACGACACCGCCGCCGCCGGTTTGCTCTTAGCGACTTGGGGCTTGGCCACAACCGCCGCGTTGTTGCTGGTAGAGCTGGTGGTGGTGCTGCTGCTGGAAGTGGTGGGTCCAAATGGCGAACAGGTATCACTGCTGCCCGACTGCTCCACATTCGTGCCCATCGATGAGTTAATAAAGTTGATGTACTGATGCAACTTGAGGGCGGCTATCAGGGAGCTCAGATAGTCGTTGATGTTGCCCTTCTGGACCTGCTTGATCTGTCGGGAGACATTTCGATAGACGCGACGCGAGATCTTGTTGGATAGCCGTCCAACCGTCTGTACTGTGTGTAGGACTGGATCCTCGCTGGCGGGAACTGGCACTACAAATAAAAGACGATTACCATTAACAAAAAGAATAGCCAGAAATTTGTTGTACTTTTTAAGGTTAAAACAAGTCTAGGTTAGTACATGTGTGGCTGTGCGGCTTGTGTGTGCTTACCATAAACTTGTTGAGTTCCCTATCGATAATGCCTACGATCTCTGGATTTCTTCTAACGTACTCAACAATTTCGGTTATGATTTTCAGGGACATGGACAGAAATACCGTCGAGGCGGCCACTAAGAATCTATCATCAATCTCTTGATCGTGATCCTGGTCGTAGCTCTCCCCAACAACAATAACTAACAAATGGCACAGAGAAAGAGAGATAGAGAGAGATTAATTTAGAAAATTAGTGTCAATTTTTTTGGGTGGTTATTTAAAGTTAGGGGTAGGTGACAGGACCAGGATCAGGATCGGGTTCGGGGGTTCGCAGGCTAATCAACATTTATCCCTCAACTCAAAATCGAAAATATTTCTGTATATTATAGCCCCGTTTTGTTCTGTTTTCGTGTGTGGAATTATCGTCATGCTTGATTAGTGTTCATGCTTTTTTTATTTACTTGCTATTTTTATGCTTATTAGACGGTGTGTTAGTGGTGGACAAACAAACAAACGATCGAACGAACAAAAGATCGGATCGGGGATCGGGAACTTACTGTCATTTTCAGAACTCTTGCCATTCTGCACGACGGCATTTTGTTTATCATCTGAGAATTAAAAATATTTACGATTTATATTTAGCATTTTGTTTACACACCGCGCAGAAAGCTAGCAAGCGAATCTAACTTTTCGGCTAGCAGATGGAAATGGAAGGAAGCCAATAAATAATGTTCTTCCCCATTCAAGGTTTTTAAATAAAATTGAAGTACCATAGTCTACAGGTTTTTAGAATACATTTTAGAAATTTCTCTAATCTGAAGTCAGTACCATCGTGTATTAAAAAATATGTATGTAATTAATTAAATATGCAAGAGTTAATTAGGGACATGTACACAAGATTTAAATGCATGTACTTTTTAAATAATCAAACTCTGAGTTATTCAGTACCAATCTCTTGATTAGGTTTGGTGAAGTTAAAGATGATTATATGAAATAAGTATTAGAATTTATTAAACTTTAAGTTTCTCACTATTCAACAACTAACAACTTATTGATATTTAATACAATATAACTATTTTTACTTTAAAGAAAAATTCATTTAACTTTTCTAATAATAATAATAATAAGTTTCACAATTATTAAAGGATAAACCGGAAAAGGGTACACAATAAAACTATTAAAATCCCAAAAATAGTAAAGAAAATTGAATGAAGACTATTTACAGTGAATATATTATTCCCTCATTCTGGCCTATTATATTTATTCATCTAGCAGCAACACTCACCATTATCCTCCTCCACATCGGACTCGCACTTGGGGAAATAGTACTCCAGGAGGCGCTCGGCTAGCGCTGTGGTAGTGTCTACTCCGTTGACCGCCAGGCTGCCGTACTGGGTGGCCAGCACCTCGTTGGCCTTCTGCCAGGCGAGGTCCTTCAGCGAAGCGGCCTTCTGCTGGCCGGCGGCCTTGAACTTGACCACTCGCTCCAGGTGCGGCTGCACCACATCGATCACCTTGCTCTTTGCCTGGTTGTAGATCTCCTGCGGCGTATCCTTGATAATAGGTGCCTTCACCTCCAGCTTATCAATGCCCTTTACCAGGGTTTGGTCCACATAGGCGATGGGTCGGTCCAGTTTGGTGACGAAAGGAGCTGCTGTTGTCACCGCTCGGGTCACACAATCCTCGGCCGCCGTTAAAGCCCATTCAAAAACACGATTTTTGCCTGCAAAAAAAGAAAATACAAATTGTAATTATATATTGGCTATCTTAAGGAAAATTCTCATCTATCAAAATTGATATGGAAAATGTTAATGACCTACGCATTTCGATTTAATATCGAGTTTTGTGAAAGCACAATTATTTGGTTTGAAACTTCCTAATCAGATTGTTCTGGAATTTCTAGAATTGTGTATGAGTAGTTATTCACACACATGTGACAAAAGCACTGGGAGCCTGCTTATCAGTTGCAACCGTAATAATAAAATAAATAATAATAATAAAAATAGCATTTCTGACTGATAAGCAACTGCGCAGTTCACGATCCGCAGGGCCCCTTGGACCCCTCCTCTATCTGTCTGGGCCTGCGAGTTTAGACTTTGATAGTTCGTCACTCGGCAAACACATCATCCAATTTCAATTCCAATCCCAATCCCAGCAGCTGCAACAACAACTGTGAAATATCACAAACAAGTCGAAAGTCCAACTACAGTTGTTGTTGGGGCCCCCTGAGAGCCCCTTAACGACAGTGCTGACTGCTTAATTTAGTTTCCAGCTAAAACTGGATTTTTTAAGGTAGAAAAATTAGTTATATCTACTTTCTCAAGACCAACTATGAATAAATAAGAGAAATGTTAAACAAAAAGTAAAGCATACTTTTTTCTATAAAAAATTCTATCTTTATAAAAGTTAAATAAAACGTGCTTTACGAAAATTAGTATCAGTATATCCTATATTCAACTTTAACTAAGATCGACTTTTTAATATTTAATAGAGCTTAGGCTTTTATCCACATTCTGTGCTATTGTTGTTTACTATTTTCAATAGTTTTATTTTAAAATTGAACCTTAACAATTTATATTTTGACACATTTAAAAAAAACTTTTTTTATACATATTTTGCAGCAATTTAAGCGTTTTTTTTTGTGACACTGGGCAGCACTGACTCGCCAGAGCGCCAGTGGAGTGGCCATTGGGTCTGCTTTGCTGTCTCTCGCAATGAAGGGGGCTCGCCCCCGTCTTCTCTCGCTGTCGGCGCCCCTGCGACTGCAGCCTACGTGCTGTGGCCTTTTTCGCCCCCCTCTCTCTTTGGCACTCTCTTACGTTTCGTTAGCCAAGAGTATTTATTATGTAAATTTCGAGCGAACTTTGAACGCGGCGCGTCACGAGGGTAAAGTCGCTTTTGTTGCTAGGTCATGGTTGTTGTTGCCGCCGTGATTTCGATTATTGAACGCCCGGCAATCAATTAATATCAATTGAGCTTAATTTCAGGCCAATTAAAAAAGAGTTGCCCTCGATGTGTTTCGAGTTCGAATTGCAACTCGAATTAAAATGGCGAAGCCATGTCGAAGTCGTAGCAACGGTTTAGGTTTCGATTGCGGTATTCGATTGCATGCGCTGCATTTGTTGTTGCTTTGCTGCCCTCTCTTTTATTTTAATCCCCCATCTTTTTGCTTCTCCATTTCGTGTGTGCGAACAACGGGACTAGAGTTCAATGCACTTATTGTATGCACTTTACACTCACACACTTACCTTTTACTTTGCCATAGACATCCTGCGATTTGTCCCATGCCGCATTTACCACGGGCAATTTGATGATCCTTTCGAGGGACTCCAGGTGCGGCAACAGGTCCTTGGCATCCTTGGGCTGATCCACGTCGTTTACCGCTCCGTTGCCGGTGCTTCCATTCCCGGTCCCGGTGGTGGCGTGTTTCTGCTCTGCACTGGCCATGATCTTTTTTTTCTGACTTTTCACTTTTTCTTTCTTTCTCTTGGTCTCTTTTTCAAGCTCTTTTGCTTGCCACCGCACTTTTCTTTTCTCCTTCTTTCTTTTCTTTCACGAACAAAAAAACAGCTCAACGTATGAGTGTGTGTGACTGTGGGGCTTGTATGTCGTATGTGATTAAGGGTACTTGGAGCACTTTTTAGCACGTCTGCACACGTCTGTTCGCCGGGGCACTCTGGTTGATTTGCGAGCTGCGCGGCTGGTTTATTATACGAGCGAGTGCCGCCGCCAGTGCTGCCAGCTCCAAGCAGCGAAAAGGCCGAGAGCGACAGATGTGCAGTTGCTGGCTGGAAATAGCCAAGCCATACTCCGAAAAGCTAGCTAAAACGTGACGTAACAGTTTTTATTACCTAAAGCCTAGTATCCAGATCGACAAACGAGTATGCTAGCGTAAAAACTTTAATCTTTCCAGTGTGACCAAAATTTCGAGAGTTCATCGGACTTAAGCGTGCTACGGTCGTACTGTCAATCAGCTGGGTTTGTTGACAAGCAGTTAAAATTCAAATATCGCATTTGCGGGAAAGAGCCTTTAAAAGATATTATCAAATACCTTGGCAAGACAAGTCTGCCGGTGTACAAAGAAATTAAAAAACAATACAATTTAAATTTAACAGTTGTTTTTTTTAATTTACTGATAATTATTTGCTAATTAAAAGTTCATAGCTGCACTTTTGTTGTGTTAAATGTACATTCTGGACCTAAAAAACATTTTGCTCTGACAAGAGGCACCCCAGATAGTATTAATGTTATTTTGTCCTCACATGTAAACACCTGCAATCGACTTTTGTGAGTTTTTTGAGTTTTTCCCTCCATTTCTTATAATGTTCACTGAGAAGCGCACGCCAAAAGATTAAATTTCTTAATCTTTTCCGCTAGGGTTCACCCAAAGTTATTTTCCGCAGACTGGCAACGCTATGGAATTTTCTGGTATTTTTTTCGTCGATCAGGAGACCGACGTGAAAAAAAGGCCCGACGAAAAGTGAACGCCAGCTATTTGCCTCTCGCTCTCTCTCATGACTGGCGTACGGTTTACGTCGAAGTGGATACTAGGCTTTAAGAAGGACATATTTTATAAATTCAAGTTTTAATTTCCATAAAATAATAAGACCAAAATAATAAGCATCTGCAATTGTTTTCATTACCTTAAATTGTATAACAAAATAAGGGCATAGTACGTTTACATACGTCGGTTCGAGTATTTTTGAAATTTGAGTATACTACAGATAAAAAACAATTAACAAGAATTATATTTAATTAAAAAACCGAGGTTCCCACATGGGATTTTCTTATTTAAGTTTAAATTCTGTAGCTTAAAGTAACCATTAAGCTGAAAGCCTGCTCTGAGCCACGTTGTTATCAGTTCTTAAAACGAGTCTACAATTTAACGATATTCTTAAAACTGAGATGAAGGATTCTATTAATGTACAGATAAAATCCTTTTGGTCACAAACATTTAAGAACAATAAACCTTACGATTTTTCTTAGATTGTTTATTTTCTTTTTAGTATTTATCTTGCACATTTTCCCAAAATCGAACGTAAAAATAGCTAGGTTGCTTAGTCTTTATAGATAGCCATTGATGCAGAGAGCAGAGCTCCAAAGCAGCGAGAGATTTAAGATTACAGCTCTCTTTGGGGACCCCATGGAATAGAAGATATGAATAACTGCTGGTATTCTAGTTTTTTGACCAGTATCCAAATGACGAAAAAAATGTTAAAAATTAAATATTGATAAATAACATAAAATGTACTACTTTACGTCTTAATATTGTAATTGGCCAAGTTACTTTCAAAACGTTTTTTTTTTTTTAATTTTTGTATATCCATTTATCCTTGTTATCTTTCATGGAGTGCAATTCTTCTGCTAGGAAAGCAAGAAAGAGGAGGGAGAAAAGAGAAATTTGGGGAAAAGGGACAGCGCCTATGTTTGTTCGCCATGCTTGACAACTAGATTAATTAATACGCAGTGTCGGGCGCAAACAAAGTTTAGATTGAAGTACATTCCAATATGTATGTGTGGGGGCACTGCCATTATCAATGGCCAATGGGCACCAGCACCACCACGCAAATACTTCGTGCGACCTTTGAACCCCAGCCACCGCATCGATAATACGCCACTGCACATTCACACATCTAATTCTACGTAATATTTACCGAATGCTGTGTAATTCGCTTGGCATTCCAAAGTCCGGTGTGTGTCAAAACAAAAACAAATTATGTACGAAAACTACCAGCGAAACGTGCCCGTTTCCCATCTATAAAATCAACTTCTATCCCCCATTCTTAACCCATTTGTAACCATATGTAAAACACAGCGATTGACTGAATAACTTATTGATTATGTATCCATTAAAACGGGTTAAAAATTAAAAATCATCCTGCATAAAATGTGTATAAAACAAGAAAGGAAAGCTAACTTCGGGCGGAGCCGAAGTTGATATACCCTTGCAGAATACTCTGTAAATTATATTCTCCAAAATTATTCATATGATGCATTCTTAATACTCATAAAAAATCCCAACTTCCTAACTTTAAAAACACCAAAGTTATGGCATTTCCAATCGTTCAGTTATATGGCAGCTATAGGATATAGTCGGCCGATCCTTATGAAATTTGGTAGGTCGGATTGGCTGGCCAAATATAACACCCATAGAAAATCCCAACTTCCTAACTTTACAAACACCAAAGTTATGGCATTTCCGATCAATCAGTTATATGGCAGCTATAGGATATAGTCGGCCGATCCTTATGAAATTTGGTATGTCGGATTGATTGGCCAAATATAAAACCCATAGAAAATCCCAACTTCCTAACTTGACAAACAACAAAATTATGGCATTTCCGATCAATCAGTTATATGGCAGCTATAGGATATAGCCGGCCGATCCCGGCCGTTCCGACTTATATACTGCGTGCAAAGGAAAGAAGGGTGTGTGCAAAGTTTGAATTCGATATCTTTAAAACTGAGAGACTAGTTCGCGTAGAAACAGACAGACGGACAGACAGACGGACAGACGGACATGGCTATATCAACTCAGGAGGTGATCCTGATCAAGAATATATATACTTTATAGGGTCGGAGATGTCTCCTTCACTGCGTTGCACACTTTTGACCAAAATTATAATACCCTCTGCAAGGGTATAATGATAGAAATGTATTGATTTAAAATATACAAGAATATTATGTTTCAGTTTAAAGAAAACGTCTCAAAATATCCAAAACTTTTTACCCAAATGGGTTAATGCCCTCAGCGAATTATGCGCTATATAGTGTAATTATGTCTGTCTGATAAGGCTTAAGCGGTCAGACTATCGCCCGTCCATAAATGCGCAAATTAACCAGGCCCTCGAGATGGGAAGGCTAAAACAGTTTAGACCGTAATCCAAAGTCTACCAATGTCGTCACAACTTTGTTTATGTTGTAACCAAGATCAGGTGCCGGGCTTATCGCCACTTGGTCTAGTCGGGTCCCAATCACCGATATGGCCCGTAAATAAACCAATGTAACCGATGCCACCCATTTTATGGCACTATATTTATCTGTGGACTTTGCAATCGATGGTTACATTATATTACCGGAGGAAATCACTTACACCATGTTTGGTAAACTGATTTCATTTACCGATAAGAAGATAACATGGTGTAAATATTTGTATGTTTATTTTACAAATATATTATAAAACACAATTTTATTACTCTGTTAATGAAATAGTTTTTTTAAGCAGGAGACAAAAAATAGTACCCATACAACAAGGTCAAAACTTAATAATTTTAAATTGTTATTTTTTTAGAATTGCTTTGTAAGCCAATTCCAATTTTTAAAGATATGAATAGGTTCATTCACTTTTTTGACGGACTAATTTGTGTAACAAGTGTGAATTATAGGTCTCAAGATACATATATAAAAACTAAGCAAATAAAACCTACTCAAAAAGATTGCATTTTAACAAAGTTAGAAGGGCTAAATGGCATTACAATTGTTGATTGCCTTTCCATTTTATCAGCTTTTGAAGATAGCCTTATATATTTTACATCAACAGATAAAAAATATAATTCGAATAATGGTCGCAAGTAGACAAACCCCAGACTGTATATAGTTCCATAGGCTCAACAGGCCCCGTCGAGGCATCAGTACATATAGTGTATATATATAGTATTCCGTTATCGGGTCCCAAAGAGTGTCCGTCTGTGGGTATTTTCCCAAATGGTCGAGCCTAGAATTCCATTGGATTTTGGACAGATTATACACCAATTCAGAGGCCTAGGCATAATCTATATATAGAAGGAGGAAACATTCAGGTAACGATGACATATAGACGGACTTTGAATCCGCGGCGTGAGTGAGTTTTTCTATATACTGGTACAATACATGTGAAAGGCGAATGAGTCGCCTGCTGATTTTATTAAGTTTTTATTTCCTTTTTTTTTTGCGCTGCTTTCTAGATGGATTGTACTTTGCTGATAAGGGGTTTTGAATACTTTTTTATTCTCTGCTTCATTCATTTAATGCCTTTGTTTTATAATTGTCGCCGGTTATCTTATATGAGGTATAAGCCTTTAAGCCACTTATTAAACAAAGTTCGCCATGCTTATCGCAATCTAGTGACACACGGGTTCAAATTACTCGAGAGTCCAATTGAAGAAATGATTAAATTGACGACAATCTTGGAATAGATGAATTTTAAAATTCACTGTGAAAATGTGCTTCTAAATAGGGTACACTTTTTGATAATGGCAAAGTAGTCCTAAAGAATCCTTCAACTGAGTTAGCTATACAAAAATTGACAAACATCATATCCCAGAGTTAAAGCAGTGGGGCAAATCAGGGGTACTGGGGCATGTCTGCTATGTCCGACTACGTGTATTAAACCCAATTCGTCATGGGGCAAAAACCCAGAGAAGACTAGAAGGAATAAGAACGACGGAACCACAAAAAGTCGTCTGGCGGTTTGGACTTTGGACGGTTTACGTGATGTCGTAGTCATGACGCCGACTTTGACTGCGACTGAGAATAATTCAATGTGTTGGAGCATGTATTTCGTTAAAAACCAACAAAAAAAAAAAACAAAATGAATAAAGAAGGCAAACCAGAATCAAAAAGAACTCTTTGACTAAATTTAGACGCGACCAAAGACCAATTCTTGCGAATACGTCATCGCTTGTAGATAAATGTGTTTTCGTATTATGGGGTGCAAAAGTAAGTTTAAACTTGTTTTCACTGCCCAGGCAATATATAAAGTTTTAAATTTTATATACAAAAACTGAAACTAAGCTACTGTAAAAAATGAAAAACATTTGTAAATTTTAATCAAGTAAACGGTGTATAAAATGTTTTGTGACTACAAAGACTTATCTTACGTAATTTGACTGCTGGATAAGTAAGCTTCATAAAATTTGGTATACAACAGGAATATAACTAAATAAGGATATAGTACGTCTTTTGCGAAAATTCCCTTATTGAATTCCCAGTTAGTTGGGACCAATCCTTCGTAACTTTTGAATTATATGTTCCATATTTGTTTGAAAAATATGTATGCTTAATGCTATTATTACAAGCCCCCCTGTGAAAGCGGATATGCTCCAGTTCGGGGATCACAACAGCCCTCTTCCCAGTCCCAGTTCGAGTGGGACTCCATTAAGGAGCAGACATCTAATCAGACGGCGGAATTGCCTCGTTTCAATTCATTTTCGTCTGGCTGAAAGACGCTGACAAACTAAAGATCGCACAAACATACTCACATGCGTATTTGTATATATATTTTAATGATTTCTGTGGCTTTTGTACAAAAGCTGATAGTGATAATATAGTTGCCCCCACGCATTGAAAGCGTGAAATGTTCGCCCTCTTTTTTCCCCTATCTGTCTGCTTCCGTTCCTCCGGCCTTGTCTTCGCATTGGTGATAAATTTCCTTAAAATATCAAATTGGTATTTAATTCCAAGTTAGCTAAGTACATATTTACTTGCATTAAAAATTAATTTAATAAATTGATATTGATTTAGGGCTTTTACAAGAAAGGAAGCAAACTTTGACAAGCTGAAGTTTATATACCCTTGCAACTCTTACAAAAATTAAATATTATACATTTCGATTTTGATACAGCTAGGTCGGTTTTCCGATAAAATATTAAATCAAAATTAAAAAACATATTTTTAAAGGTTCCTGTAAAAAAATGTAATTAATTTAATTTAAAAAATGTTAATATACATATATAATATATGTTATAGTGATGCTGATTTAATAAAAATTAAATTTTAATGTGATGTTTTAATGTTAATGTAATGCTAATGTAATGTTAATGTTATATTGATGTAATGTTAATGTAATGTCATTGTAATGTTAATGTAATGTTAATGCAATGTTAATGTAATGTTAATGTACTGTTAATGTTATGTTAATGTACTGTTAATGTTAATGTACTGTTAATGTTATGTTAATGTACTGTTAATGTTAATGTAATGTTAATGTACTGTTAATGTTAATGTACTGTTAATGTAATGTTCAATTGGCATGGTCACCGTCATTACTCCCTCGATACTTGTAATTCCCAACAAGTTCTAGCCAAAAAATTACGACCTAGTGGTTGTTGGCAGCCCATATACCAGTTGACATGGATGTCCGAAAGTGTGAGTGTGTTTCTTGTGGGGTTCCAAATGATCAATGGTTATACCATATGACTTGGATTGTTCACCAGGATGTAGGATCAAGGACCTCTCAAGGTATGTATTATTTTATTATAAAATAATTCGCTTAATAAATTAATTAAAATTCTAATTCCAGATTGTGTGTGTGCCTGTGATTGAGGAGCAGTTGCAGGATGGTTACGGCGATACCATCATACTTTATCCGGATGCAGTGCATCAAGGATTTAACGGAGTATGTACCATTATTATAATAAATAAAATTAAAAATTACACGTTGAAAAGAAAATTATTAGTATTCAAGTATTAGTATTAGTTTATTCAAGTTCCTGCGTTGCAAACTTTTGACTGAAATCATAATACTCTCTGCAAGGGTATATAAATATTCAAGTTATAGCAAACTGCGCATTGCAATTATTTGAGGCTAATCGAAATCTAGGTGGCTCACTCAAGTATATTTCGCGGATAAACCACCTCTAGGTGTCGCTTTGTAATTTTATGTAATTACCATGTAGATAACTACTTGAGGAAATATAACAATTATTATAGGATTTTTAGTACCATACAATTTATAATTTGTAAATGATTAATTACCAAATTTTATTTTCCTGCTTTCTTTTAAATAATTGAATAAAACTATGCTTTTTAAAGGATATTTAGTTAAATATTTAAAGTTACATAAGCAAGGGCTCAACTTAACCAACAACAAAATCTGTATCAATTCTTAGTTCAACTGCATACCTTATATTATATGAATCGATTTTTGAAGGTCTTAATTATAATTGTTCTCGAAGTGCACCTGAAAACCCGCTAAATATAACCCAAAAATAAGGGCTAAAGTGGAATATATGATTTTAATTATTAAGTATTGGTAAGAAGAAATAAGGTCAGGTAAGGGAACCGATCCACCTGTTGTCCCTCCTGCGCCAATTGCCCACCTTGCGAAGGCAATCACCTGCGAACGGTCGACGGGAACGGAGCTTTTGCCATGGATCACGGACCGACTGATGCCACGCCCACCGCCGCCGCCTTCCGGCTGGTGTTGCTAAGCAAATCGAATCCCGTGATGGGGTGCTACATGTTCTGGACCAGTCTGCTGGTGCTCAAGATGCTGGCCATGTCGCTACTCACGGCCCGCCAGCGGATGAAGACCAAGACGTTCGCCAACCCGGAGGATTTGCGCATCAGCCGAAGCCAGGAGGTTCGATTCGGGGATCCCCATGTGGAACGAGTGCGACGGTAAGTGCAAATACATCTTCCATATAAGCTTGGGGATCAAACTTTAAGTATTGTAAATATCACTTCACAGAGAAGAAGGTATTTTAAAATCGATCTGAATTTACAATTCAAGGTACTAGGTATATAAAAGGTGTAATTAATTTTGAGCTAAACAATTCCGATGTTAAATATATATATAATTAATCAATAATAAACTAAGGACTTCCTAAAAGGAAGCTTATATTCTGTAAAGATAAAAAATAAACTTAAAAGCATTAATCTTTAAATGTCTTATATTAGATAAAGAATTCGTGGTAAATTTAAAAAATTGGTTTTCTTATTGTTTATTAAATTTAACCGGACTTGTGTATTTAAAATATATTAAGTATTTATTTTACTGAATAGAAAACTATGTATAGATTATAACATTATTGTTATGATGATGACTTCTTGCAGGGCCCATCGCAATGACCTGGAGAACATTTTGCCCTTCCTTCTGATGTCGCTGGTCTATGTGGCCAGTGGACCGAATCCCCTGACCGCCCGTTTGCTCATCCGCATCGGAGCAAGTGCCCGGCTGCTCCACACGGTGGTCTACGCACTCATCCCGGTTCCGCAACCGGCCAGAGCCCTGGCCTTCTTCACCACCTTCGGCATCACCTGCTTCGAGGCAGGCTACGTCTTTGTCTTTTGTATTAAGTACATTTAGACCTTTAGTGACTCCCACTTAGCTAACTTGGCCAAGTACTCACCTTTCGCACATTTAAACAGCACCAGTGATGTTAAGTGGCTAGGTACAGATTTAGGTACCTATGTTAAGTACAATTAAAAACTTAAATATGCATATTAGAGTTAATATCACTCCCTACAATATAAGCCCTTAGGGTAACTTTCAAAAGCCATAAAATGGTTCCGCAATATTAAAAACTCTTTAAGAATAAATAAAACCCATAAAATTTAATCAATTATTTGATAATGTTTGTTAGATTAAATATCAAGTAGCACAAACATTGTTTTAATAAACAAAAATCTTTACTCTTTAAGCCATTCAGAATATTAATATTAATTAGAGAAAGTCCAGATTACAATATTTTTTAATTACATGTAAGCAGTATATTCGATTTAAGGAATAGACTTTAAAATATTGCTGTCAGTACTATTAAAATGATTAAACAATTAATTTAAATAATAATATTACTATAAAAAACGTAGAAAATCACTGCACAGAAAATTCGTTTAATCATGTTAAATTAGAACAGACATTTTTTTTCTGTAGACATAGGTTTAAATATGAATAAGAAATTTAATAATTCTAAGGAATAGGCTTACGTATGTATAAGAAATTTATCAATTCTAAGAAACAGGCTAAGGAATTTATTTAATTTAAATAATAGTGTACCCGACAAACTGGGTAAAATAGAAAACTTACCCATTCCATTGCTGCACAGCACCTCAGATTCGGTTCGACGCAATTCGTAACCAGTTTGGTCGCATGCTTTCATGATCTCCACAATGAGCTGAGTGCGGCTTTATCATTTATTTGCCGAAGTTGTCTCAAAGCGAACGCACATACCTCATCCGCCATGTCGACCACAGCAGGGAATGCCAGCCAGACGATGACATCGACCGGCGAAATGTTCACCCTGGAGAATCCGGTCTTCTGCTGCTATCTCTTTTGGGCCACGGTGCTGGTGGTGAAGATGAACCTCATGTCGCTACTGACCGCCATCCAGCGTTTCCGGTATAAGGTAAGTCATACCATTGTGTCGCTGCACTTGCTCAAAGGTCACCACCACCAATTCCATTCACAGCTGCTGGTATTCGTACCACTCGCACTGCGACGTAAGGTAAAATAGCCACTAGTCATCGTAGATTAATTCGCTTAACCTGTTTGGCGAGGCTCTAAAATTGTTGTTTTTCGCTATTGTAGATCTTTCCCAACCAGGAGGATCTGTTCTTCAAGAATCTCGAGGTAAAATTCGATGATCCGAATGTGGAGCGCGTTAGAAGGTGGGTTGTTGTCTTTCTATTTACAATATCTCAAAGTAAAATGGACCTCATAAAGAGGTTGAATTATACAGAATCTTATCTTTTAAAAAAAAATATTGACTAATACAATCGAATCTTTATCTTTATGTGGACGTCCCTTAATTATTGTTGAAATAGTTTGTTAGTTCTTATTAAATCTTAAAATGTAACTCCTTTTTATGGGAAGTATTTAAAACCTGACTTACGAAATAGCTTTGGAATGTGTAATACTGTAATATGTCAACTATTATCGAATTACTTTGCCAATCAGCATATTAGTCATACGATTAAGTATTATTGTTGACGACTTTAAATTAGCTTTAAATTGCTTTTAAACACAGATCGATTTAAAGCATGCCAACGTAGATAACTTTTACTTTGAGCATTGGATAAGTATAAGATACTTTTGTAAAACCTATTATTGTTCGAATCACTTATTAAAATGTTTGCCACCTTCCAGAGCGCATCGCAATGACATGGAGAACATTTTGCCATACTTTATCATGTCCTTGATTTACATCAGTACCAACCCGAATGCCGACGTGGCATGCAATCTGTTCCGTGTGGCCTCTGTGGCCAGGATCATTCACACTCTGGTCTACGCCGTTTATCCGGTTCCGCAGCCGTCGAGGATCATCGCCTTCGCCACCATGCTCCTAATCACCTTCTATATGGCCGCTGTGGTCGCCCTGCGCACCCTAAACTTTATCTAAATAAACAATAATCCCTATCGGCTTAACCCTTAAATGCTAAATGTTTATTTCTAGTTTAGTTCGAGATATGGTGGACTGAAGGCATAATCGAAACTTGATTTTATTTAAATATTTGAATAGCTATTCAATTAATTAACTAAATTATTCCTAAATTTCTAAATATTGGAAAATTCATGATTTAATAATTCAAGTAGTTAAACTATACGATTTTGGAAAAAATATACAAACTTAAATTGGCACCTGGGTCTTTAAGAGTCAAGTGCTTAACTGAAAAAGTTTTAAAGTCATATTTTTACTAGTTTTCTTTCAAAAATATGGAAATATAGATTTACCTATTCTCGATTACGAAAACATACTTTGCAAGTCAAACATTAACTGTCCACCGGCATAGTCAATTAAATGAAGGAACTATTATAATTATCAATTTAGTTACATTTTTTGGTTCAGCTCATTTTAAATAACCTCTTAGAATAAACTTCATTTAACCGACAATCTTAAAAAAAATCCTTATAAATCAAAAACAGAATATTACATATCTCAGAAGAAAATTCAAAGCAAACTTATCGCCATCCTAGAATAAGAACATCACAAATTGCTTGATTTTCAATTAATTTAGTTCTATAATTAGCTTGAGATGCAACAAAAACAAACAGTGGAAGGGACTAGGTATCCGGGGAACTGGGGACTGGCACTGGGAATCTTTAGAACTAGCAGGCTAGTCCTCTCGTCCGACATTGGCCATAGGATATCTAGATGTTGAAGCCGGCATCGCGCATACACTTCTTGTGCGCCTCGATCAGCGCCGAGCAGTTCTCCTCGCCGTTCTCCACAATGCTGGAGGGGATCGGAGATGGGGATTGAACAAGGAGACAATTGTTAGCCATGTAGTTGCGTCATTGGTTTTGGGAGGTACACTCACCAGGCATCACGTGCCCGCTTGGTCTCCGGACAGGCGCAACAGGCCTTGCAGGTCTTGGGCTTCTCGCCGGAAGCGGGTGCGGGTGAGGATGCGGTGGCCACCGGCTGGGCGGCCGAAACACTTGGAGCGGCGGCTGCCTGGGCCACTCCGAATCCCTGGGACATGCTGTTGCCCATTCTTCAATCCGGTTTTCTGAGTAACTGCTGGGGACCAAGAGAAATGCCGTTACAGAACGCTTCACGTTTGTTTATATAATAAAACTCACGTTTCGAGACGGATATTTCACCACAAATCGGTTTATCGGCGCACCGCACACAAAAATAACTAAATTCAAGTTCACTGAACAGGGTTGTCAAATGACTGACATACATATATCGGTTTGGAGGGGTAGCTATCGCTAAAACTATCGTTAACAGATTTTGTTATGTTTTTTTAATTTGATTCAAGCTTCATATCTACCTTCCATCTACTTTTTTTTATTTTGTTTTAAATATATATTATTGCTACCTTCTCATTTTGCAAATAAAATGAAAATTTATGTCGGTTTTAATTCGAGTTATATTATATATCACAATCTAGATATTATTTCTATTTTTAATGCCTACCCACAAGCTCACGTTAAGGACACGTGACAGCCCTGTCAAAAAGTACTTTACAGCACAAAACAGCTGTGGCCGCACTAGTGTTGCACAACAGCAAAATACAAATGTCAACAAACGTTTTTTAGTCTATATTTCCATTTTATTTCATGTTTCCATTTGCTCGTTAGTGTCCTCTTTTTTCGCCGACTGCTCCTCCTTGAGCCGCTTCAGCATGTTGTGGGACACCAGGTCGAGTTTCAGGTGCTGCACACTCAGTGCACTGCCGTCCCAATCGCGCAGCATTTTTAACTTGAGGGGATCGCACAGATTCATCAGCTCCAGGCCGCCGCTTCGGAACTCGTTACGCTCCTTTTCTAGCGTCATGGTGATCACATCCTTGCGGGCGGCATGCTGGTTAGCCCGATGTTTGCCAATCGACTGCTTTAGGTTGATCTGCCCCAGTTCCTCGTCAAATCGTGTGAAGTACAGCTCGATCAGATCCTCCAGTTCCTGCGGACTCAGCGGCTCTGTGCGGCCCTCATCGATTTGGCCCAGAAACCAGCTCAACTTCTCGCCGGTTATGTTGCTCTTAATCGCATGGCCCAAACGCACTTGGTGCTTGTGGTTCTGGCGGCGTGCTTTCTTGCCCAGAGCCTTGGTCTTTCGGCTGTTTGGATGCTTGCATTTCTCCAGTTCCTTACGTAGATTCGTCTAGTGTTTATGGTGGGATAAACTTAAGTTTATTTCTTTTATTACGCATTATTTACTGCACACTTACCATTTCAGGCGTAGTTTCACGTTGTTTTGATCCCAGTGTTGGTAAACGCTGGAGTGCACATGTTGCCCGCGATCAGCTGAGTTACTAGTGGCGTTTACTTTTAACGATAGTTTATGCGATGATTTGGCTGTGAGATCTTTGTTTGAATTTTGTTCTTATTCACTACACATATTTTATTAAGACCCATTTATAACTGTTTGAAGAATTTAAAAATCCATCAAGCATATTTTTTAATGAACACTTACATAAAAATATATATATATCATTAAAATTTAAGACGATTTAAAAAAGTATTTATTTGCATTAATATTATATTAGATATCGATAGTTTCTGGTTCGTCTTCAGATAGAATCATATGTTTCTGCAAACACACACACACACACCTGCTTGATCGAACCCACGATCCGAACCGATCCGCTTCTATTTCCCGTGCATTTCCAGGCCCCAAAGTCCCCGCTAAATGGCAACACACCTGCTCCGAAATGGCGCTACAAGTTGGCTGCTCAGGAACTGCATTTCCCGCCAGGCGACAGTAAGTATCTCCGGAAAACGACCGCCGTATCACATCATGCCAAAAGAAAAACAACACCGCCGTTATGTAATCTCAAAAACACCCTGCGTGCGTTCGAGCGAGACGGGAATATCCATCTCCGCACTCTTCCAATCGGAGCGAATTTGTTTTCGTTACACAGAAAAAAAATAAGATCAAAGATCAACAGGTTCAATTCCTATTTTTAAATTCTATTTATTTGATCCTATATATGTACAAATGTTTTTGAGTTTGGATGTACAAATATATTAATGACGATTTTAAAATATGGATTAAAACCACAAATAAGTAACGCTAACAATAGTTTTTTAAATTTACAATTATAACTTTGAATTGTTCTTGTGATCTCCCAATATTAAGCAAGTTATTACATGATATTTACATTAATATTAAACCATCCTTGATTCTGTATTTTGCCTCGTAGTTAAGACGCTGCCTGCATGTGACCTCCAGTCTGGACAAGACGGTCTCCTTCAACCTCAGCGACATTGGAGAGGGCATCCGGGAGGTGACCGTCAAGGAGTGGTTCGTGAAAGTGGGCGACACCGTGGAGCAATTCGACAATCTCTGCGAAGTGCAGTCGGACAAGGCTTCGGTGACCATCACCAGTCGCTACGATGGCAAGATCACCAAGATCCACCACAGCATCGACGAGATCGCGTTGGTTGGCAAGCCTCTGGTGGATTTCGATGTGCTAGACGAGGAGGGCGACGACGCGGAAGACTCCTCCTCTTCATCCTCCACATCCTCCGGCAGCTCTTCCAGCGAAACGGAGTCACAGGCAACTGGAGCAGCCGCTAGTTGCACGGGCGGCCGTGTGATCACACCCGCCACGCCCTCTGTTCGTCGCTTGGCCAAGGAGCACCAGTTGGATCTGGCCAAGGTGCCGGCAACGGGCAAGCATGGTCGTGTGCTCAAGGGCGATATACTGGAGTTCCTGGGACAAGTGCCTCCTGGTACAAATGTGCCACATCCCACGCTGGTGGCCAAGAAGCCAGTAGCTTCTGTTCCAGCTGCAGCTGCTGCTCCTGTTGCCGTGCCCGCCGATCGCGTGGAGGTGCTCAAGGGAGTGCGCAAGGCCATGCTCAAATCGATGACGGAATCCCTGGTAAATCCTTCTCACACTAGGGCGTTTGTATTAAATAATCATTGCCTTTTTCCCCAGAAAATCCCGCATTTCGCGTACAGCGACGAGATCGATATGACCCAGCTGATTCAATTCCGCAACCAACTGCAGGCGGTGGCCAAGGAGAACGGCGTGCCCAAGCTTACCTTTATGCCGTTTTGCATCAAGGCCGCCAGCATTGCCCTGTCCAAGTATCCAATTGTAAACAGCTCTTTGGATTTGGCCAGCGAGTCTCTGATCTTCAGGGGCGCCCACAACATCAGCGTGGCCATCGATACACCGCAGGGTCTTGTTGTGCCGAACATCAAGAACTGCCAGGCGAAGAACATCATCGAGATAGCCAAGGACCTGAATGCACTCGTGGAGCGCGGACGCACTGGCTCCCTGAGCCCATCGGACTTTGCCGATGGCACTTTCTCGCTCTCCAACATCGGAGTTGTAAGTAGAATTAATTCTTTGTGTGGCAAATAGATCATCATCAGATCTTATAAATCCTCCAGATTGGCGGTACCTACACGCATCCCTGCATCATGGCGCCCCAGGTGGCCATAGGAGCGATGGGAAGGACCAAGGCGGTACCGCGTTTCAACGACAAGGATGAGGTGGTCAAGGCGTATGTGATGAGTGTGAGCTGGTCTGCGGACCATCGTGTCATCGACGGCGTGACCATGGCCAGTTTCTCGAACGTCTGGAAGCAGTATCTGGAGCAGCCGGCTCTTTTCCTGCTGAACTAGTCTGTCTGCCTGAACAACTCCAATGCAAACTACCACGGATAAGGCTGTACACTGTACCCCATGCATTTATCTAGACATATCTAATTTTGTAAATTGTACGTCAATCCGTTTTGCTCAAGAGCATGTGCCATGTGCCGCCGCCCATCCCCGAAACGTGCATTTATAGGAGGGACGCTGCTCTGAGCGGCTCCTCGATTACTTTAAGCTCCTGGCGCACATGGCTGGCTTCCCGCTTACCTATTTTTTTTGTTAACCTGCATTTATACATATATCAGTTCTGTGTAATTTGTTAAGCAGCGGCTTTAGCCTACAGTTTAACTGTAGTGTGTGCATTTATTTTAAAGCTTTGTTTTATTGGCTGTCCAATAAATATCCAAAACGGTTTATGTGAAACCCCCATGTTTTTGCATATTTTCCCGGCACCTGAGTGAGTTGTAATTAGCTTACAACTTTGTCTTTGTGGCCTTGTGACGGCTTTTGCCTCTGGAATCCATTTAAACTGGAATGTAGGAAAGTAAATTTGATGTTTCTGCGGGTGTTCTCGAAATCTCTTGAGCATTGCGTTTGCGTTTATTCTCGTGGGATTTTATAAACACTTTGGTAAATGCAATTAAATATTAAATAATTACGCATTTAAACATAAAAATTTCAAGGCAAGTGTAAAGCACATTAAAATTTTGTATACTACTTGTATTGCTTTTTAAGGGTCCATTAAATCTTCCCAAGTCTTTTTTTTTGATTTAACGACTATCCAAATGTGCCTATCTACATGTGCGTAATGTCCCTTTTGTTATGCCAAAAACTCACGCATGTTTTTGAGAACACTTTCGTTAAACTCGCATTACTCGCTGAGCGGGTAACTTAAGGCAGGCTTGCACCTTGTTGGCGCCCAAAACCTGATTTTTTTCTGGAATTTATTTCTTGGAAAGTATGGTAGGTATGGGAATAAAATTTTAGCCAGTTGTAGGGTACAGTTTATTGAAGCTACACAATTTTTTTGAGTGCGATCCAAGCGATGGGGGGAGGGGGATTACCCAACAATGGCGGCATGTCCGGGAAATACTCGTCCTCATGGCGGATTTTTTGGAATTTTAAGAAATAATCTGAAACGCAAAAAACGAATATATTCTTAATCTGTACACTTGTTCGCATGGCTTGAACTAGGATTATTGAAAAAACATGAAAAATGCAAAAATTATGAGCTTTTGAAAAAAAAATCGGGTTTTTCTTCATTTTTTCGTCACTTATTATTTTTTTAAATAAACAATTTTTAATATTTTCAAAAGATCCTAGTCTATTCCATGCACATACTTCTGAGGAACATGTATACAAAATTTCATGACGATTACTCAATTTTTGCGGCTTGTACGACTTCCGCCAACTCGGAAAACATGGTTTCGAGAAAAACGCGTTTGAAAATTTGCACTATAATGGCAACGCGCTTGACACCGGTCCACCAAACGCTCGATAACTTTCGTAATTCAAGAGATTTCGACTTGAAATTTTAGGAGAGTAAAATTGAAACATGTATGTATCCGAAACTGCAAAAAAAAAAAAATTTATTTTTTTGACCTCACAAGGTGCAAGCCTGCCTTAAATGTACATACACGTATTTCAACTTTGTTTTGCAGCAAGTTTAATTTAATTTTAGCATACATTTGCTCTGCTGGCTCCACTCCTTTTCTCAGCACGTTACTTACCGCGTGTTAGTAGGATATCAGTGTAGCCAGGTCAAAGCATAGCTAAAAATATAAAGCTAAAAATAATATATTCGGTGTGTTTTTATAAATGAACCCTAAAGTTAAAAAAAAGTTCTTCAAATTTAACCTAATAATCAATTTTAATCTTATTATTTTATTACTTTTTTCAAGGGAAAATATCTTTCGAAAAGATCAAACCATTTTTTAAACTGCTTTAAAACTCGATAAACTCTTTAATTTTAAAATACATTAAAGCAAAAACTATTTTTAAGAGCTCACTCCATTTCATATCATAAACTGATTATAGATCTAAATGGACAAAATAGATATTCGCAAAGATTGAACCGACGAACGGTTTTGAAACAAACCGATATCGAAATCTCTTGAGGTATATCTGACAATCCAGGCTAGTTAATGTTATACACATACCTGTGGGGGTAATCTAAATAAAGCGCTAGATATATCGGTGAAAAATCCGAAATGATATCACTAAAGTAAAATCGCGGGTCATGCGCAGTTTTCCATCCGTCAACGAGAATCCAACAAGTGCGGCATGGAAATGTGCTCTTCGACTCTGGTCGCCCAACTTCGTAGCGCTTCGTATAACGGCACACTTCCAGACCCCAGAGCAGAGGAATTTCAACACCACCACATCGCACATTGCAGTGGTGCCCGAGCAGGGACCGTGAGGGGGGAGTGGTAACGGGGTGGTCCGTTGGTTGGTTGGTTAGTTGGCGTCCTTTGGTTTATCTGCTCCGCTCGACGGCTAGAAAATTCAGTCACACCACAGCCAGCGCGCAGTCAGCTACATAAAAGCAGGAGCTAACGAGCTGCGACAGAGGGTCCTTCGGCTGCAACTGACCACGAGAGCTGAGCAAAAAAGAAAAGAAGCCAATATTTTTTTTCCTGTTTGTACAATTTAAAAGACATAAATAAAGTGATTGTTCCAGTGAATTTTGTCGGTGCAACGCCATGTCAACAGAATGCAAAACTCTGAT